TAGGATCAGTTAGGAACTGTTTCTACGAGTTTCAACTGGACTGGCACTGGACTCTTTGTAAGCAACACAAAAAATGTTCCTGACCTGCACACTAGCTCGTTACTTTGTCTACACGTTACCTCAGGTGTGAGCTGAAGTATCCAGGCTTCTTTACTTCCCTTTATCCTCTTCTGACGACTATACATAATTTAATTCAATTGTTATTTCAGGAAATATATTCATCTTCGCAGTGCAAAGTTTGTTACAATCTAAGATAGATAACGACTGTTAATGTAACGCTAATTAACGGTTAATAGAACACCTGTAAAGCGGAGTGATACACGTAGTTAAAAGTCCCAGTGCCGTTGTATGCTCTAGCAGCACTCATGAATGCCTCTTGTCCTTACTTGGTCAGAACTTACTGTTGTATAATCACCTGTATCACCTGTGTTTTCGTTTGCTGTGAATGAGCCCTTCATATATACATAGGGAGCGGGTCTTCTTCCCTGGAGCCCGTTGAAGTGGCAGCTTGGATATATTATAGCACCGGTGGGGGCCAAATCAGCGGTTGCTGTTGCTGGCTTACAAGTGTGACAAATGGAGGAACATATTTATTATTTGAATTGTACAGGCCACTGCAGAAAACGAGCCTTAACATTGGTGTGACCTTTCCCAATCAGATAAATCACTGATGGAGGGACAGATGTTTTTAGAGTGACGCTGAGGTTGCCTGTTTCCTGTTTCCTGATGGACAGGTAATTTAGCCCATCAATCCACATGCAATTTGTTGTTTGGTAGCTTTAGCTAGAACAGGGCCATGGGCATAATTACCTATACAACCAATCTTAATACTTGTGTCAGTGTTGAAAAATATCTGATTGCTACCAGAATTGTAATTTTACATTTATGTGTCATAACTATATTTTCGCAAAACATCAAACTTTTTTCAACATCACCTCCCACAAAGGGTAACCCTTCGTAAGCTCCAGCAGGTCTAGCTTCAGTACTTTCAGTGGGATGGATAAGCAAGTCATCACATTGAAAAAAAGCTGTCCAAACATAAGTTGCTGATTAGGGTTTATGTTTACTGTTGTATCTCCATATATGTGATGTATAGAACAGGCTGTAGTAATTCTTTACAGAGTTGAGCCTTTGAATGTCATTGCAGAAGCCACTGAAATTCAGGGAACAAAGGTAACAGTTCGACAGTCATAACTTCTATGCATTACATGTGTGTTTTGTATATCATGGCTCCACAGTGCGACTATACATTTTGATCGGTTGCACTGATGCGCCTGGCATTTCGCAGGTCCGCACACTACAAAGATACACATACATCGAGACAAACACCTGCCCGACTCTGCCTCTGACCCTAATATATAAGCAAGTGTGAATGTGTTGAATTGCAAGAAACTGTTTCCCAGGATTGTGTTTATGGACGATAGCAATTATTTACCTAATCTGTTAAGAAATTAAAAATTACATTTGTATGGGCACTGTCAAAAAAGGTAATGATGACGCATTATCAGAAAGTGGTACTATTTAATTTTTAGTATCACTTCATCATAGAGGTACTAGCATTACTGTGTGTAATCATTTATGTTGTACTTTTTTATTTTTACTTTCTATGTCATTTTTAACTGTTATGCTGCTGTCAGTGTTATTTATGATAGATGATTACTATGATAAATAATGGTTTCACATATCAGTCTTTATTGGTGCAAAAACAAACATATGTGCAGGTGAAACTAATTTATACCCTTGTTGCTTCTTTTTTGTCTGTATATAGGGAAAGTATGCATTCTGAAAACCCCTCTTTGAGTTCACCAAATGAAGATGAGCGGCAGACTTGTGCTGCTCCTTGTGTCCAGCCATCTGAAAATGGAAAGGTAAAATGTGACTGATCTCTTGTATATCTGAGGGAGTACAGATGGGAGAGTTATGACATGACTTACATAACGTGTACTGTAATTCAAAACGAGTATCCATAATTTTTTAGCTTCCTGTGTGTGATGTCCTGCTGTTTGTTTCCTGTTTGTGTACCACCTTAGGGTTGATAACTGTCTAACCGTGGAGACATTTCTATGGATTTGTTTCAATATTATTTGTGTGAACAGATAGACAATCTGTGCGTAATCTGTAAATATAAAACACCTTCCACAAATTCAAAAAATAAATTACATTACATATTGCATATATAATACATTTCTAGCTGAAACACATTGCACCCAACCATTATTGACTTTCATTTGAATTTCAGCAGCTGACTTTAGCTTCTGCTTGAAGTTAAAACCAGACTGTTCTTTGTCCTTCCATATCACACTGAAACGATGCTACTAGTTTGTCCAAGCACAAAAGGAAACCAGATAGCTTTATTTAATTAAAATGAGTCAATGTCAGTTGAAAGCTTTATCTTGCAGGGAGTTTCAGCTACAAATATCTGCACATATGCTCGTTGCAGATGTTTTTGACCTTGTGTTACACAAACAAAAGATATTACCACACTTTTTTGGAAGCTGTCTCTCTATTGCCAAGTTCTGCTTACATCTCTGTTGTGCCATATGTGCTGTATAAATACAATTATGTTGCCTGTTTCCACTAAGCTGTGTGCTGATAGGTTTCTGTACCTTGTCCCATTTAAAGGAGTTGGGGAAAAAAGATGCAGCTCGTCAAAGAGCAGAAAGTCGAGATAAGTGCTCGGCAACTAAACAGTCACAAAATAAAGTAAATAGAGGTGAGTCACATTTACATTAACAAAGTCCTTCTCCACCAAAGAAATCTGTAGATTGCAAGCAAATAGTTTGTAAGGTGAAGTACTAACTAACTATATGTTTAAAATGGATCCACATACAGATATTCAAGAAGATGAGGATGAAGAATTCAGCACCTCTTTAAGTGTGGGAGATGGACGTTACCTTGTGGATTTAGGAAGGTATGCTGATAAGATTTCCTCAGTTCTTCTCACCCATACCATCTCCAGCTTTAAGTGTTGGAGGACTGATTTCTCTTTTTAACCTGATCTAACAGTTGCATCTTTTCCTGACTCCTTCAGCTCCTCAGAGTTCATCGTTGATGAAGAGTGCATCCTCCAGCTGTTCAAGCTGTGCAGAGAATGCAACAAACAATGTTCAGTTAGAAAACGTGTCCAAGGACTAAAGCTAGTTGTTTACCAGGCGTGCTGTTTCTGTCAGAGCCGCTGTACATGGACTAACCTGCCAGACACTGATGAGGATGATGGCATCATAGACGATAGCAATTTCCAGATCAATGGTAAAGATACAGCACATGAACAGACCAACACAGCAATGTCACCAAGCAGTAACACTAGCTGAGATAGTATCATGTCTGAAATGATACTTCAAGCAGACAGTGGTTGCACTGGGATTACACTGAACCAGGAATATGTTCCAGTTTTCGTTTTAACCTGTGCTATAGTGGACTCAGCAGCTGGACATCTGGTTATTCTGCTGCTTTTCACTGGAGCGTCATCACACCATCAACGCCTCAGCATTTTACTGATGCCATCACATGTAAAGAACCATCTGACGCAAATTGGAGGGTGGTTACTTCAGCTTGTGATGGTTGTTTGTTAACGCCATTGCTATGGAGAATGTGTGATTCTGACTGGCAGGTCAGACAGGTATGGTGAACAGTTAAATCACTATTAGTGGTCAGAAGTTGGGCTGTTGCAACAGAATTACACTTGTTTCAGTTAAATGTGGGTTGTAACAGCGTAATGAGAACACTCCAGAAGTAAAAGCAAACGCCCGTGGATCGGATGTTATCCAGATAATGTAATTAGATACAGATGACATGAGGTGTAAACTGGACCCAAATTTTAAACTGTCAGTAAACCAAATTATGGTTTTCCTGTCAGTTTCATCCATTATCTTAAATGAACTCCTTGCCCAGCTACAGCCAATCAGAAACTAGCATTCAGTTAGTACAGGTATTACTGACAGAGCACAGATTTTTTTAAAATAGTTTTTCATCTTTCAGTCGAAGATTTGATCTGATCTTTATGCTGATTTGAAATTCACACAAAGTGGTTACGATACAGCTGGGACTGCTTCATTACAGGATTTGTTCGGTGACTGTTACTTAATATGTTTGATACTTTTTGGTCAAGTGTGTTGAAATAAGCTTAAACCTCAATAAAATACTAAAATAGTAATCTGCACCTCAGGGAAATAACTTAGACACACCACAGACTGAGAAGATGAGGGAGCCCACATATTTAATGGGTGATGACAGGGCATTCATGTGCTAATTAGATACGTCACACAATAATGAGTAGACAGTGTTGTAACATTGCAGCCCTTGGTGTTTTGATCCAAAACTACCACGTGTAAGTTTTGGCTGTGAGTAAAGAACAATCGCAATGGAACTGAAGAAAAGGAGAAGTCATGAAAGACTGATTATCATCGCCCCCGGTGACAGAAAGCACACACCAGGTTCATTAAAAATCAAATGACATTAAAGTTAAAAAATAAATAATCTGCTGGCATGGTTAAAACATTAAAAGGAAGACATCGCACATAACAGGAAGTTAAAAATTTTGTCAGTGTGTGACATTCATACTTAACTTTGCACTGGTGGTCCCAATTTGGCAAGAGGAAGAACATTTCTACTCTTTTCCGCTACAGTAACGGCACACAAAGACTGTACAGTGAGGGAGCCACTTTAAAACATTCTTAGTTACCAAGTACTAAAACCATGGAAGAAGGGGACTTGGTCCAAGGTGTCTTTAAGTTCAGGTATAGCAGCTGAGGTGAGAGGAAGCGTTAGCTAAATTAGCTAATAGCTACATTTTATTGGAGTGTGTTCAGTTCATCATTAATCAAAAATCAGGACTTGTGTTAAGTTCTTACAATGTGAATTTCCTCCTCCTGTGCAAATCTATGAAGGAAGATGCCTGAGGAGACAGTACTGTTCAGCCGTCAGTCGTACCCTTAGTTGTGAATGGCAGAAACAGACTCTCCTGCAGCAAGTATAATAGAAATCCAGCCTTCATTTAACGGCTCTTAAGATAGCCCTGCTCCTCAGGTCAATGCAGATAACTAGTGTTGTACTGGAAAGATGCCATCTGGACTCGATTACGCAGCCTCTGGACCTCCAGATCCTGGAAGTAGTCGTCCTCATCGTTTTGGATGATGATTTTCTGCAGTTCGCCAATCTCGCGCTCCATCCTGGAACGCAGCTCTCGCTTCATCTTCAGCAGGGCCTGCAATCAATTGGGGCTGATGAATACAGTGTCTCTCTGTTTAGTTGTGCCCATTCAAATTTTATTTTACAAGGGAAAAGTGAGGGATCTGGACAGTACTGCTAATAATTTATGGCCTGATGTACAGTCTGTCCTATTTGTAAAAACGTATCTGACACAAACAGAACATATGTCAGTATTTCCTAAACTGAAGATTTAAATAAAAAAAAAAAAACAACTTCATGATGGGCATTTTTCTGACAGTAATCCCAACGATTAAACAAAAAAATAAGATGAATTGATAATAAAATTGTTAGTTGCCGCCCCTTGACAAAAATAATGCTGCATGCTTTATGTGATCAGACAGTCACATCTGTCCAAGCAAATTCAAATATTTGAACCAATTCTCCTATTTTTGGGCAGAAGGCCAGTTCTGCCTGAAGACACTGAATAAGAAGCATGATTTGTATAAAAGGCATGCCTACTAGAGCAAGAACACCATTGTATGAAGGCTTAGTAAAAGTAACATTTTCCTACAATTTAACAACTTATTAAGCACCTCTAAAAATATTTTTCCATGGTTTTACCTTTTCTTGAGCCTTTTTGCGAACCTGGATATCCTGCCGCTCTTGTGCAAGTTTTTCGGCCAGTAGTGAAAACTGAAGAAGAGAAAGCAGATTATAGCTCACATTTTAGCTCATGGCCTCATCTACAAATGTTGCGTACATACTAGAATATTGCATACGCCATGTTTCACGCTCATGGTCATATGTATCAGTGAAATACAATGACCATATTAGGGGACATAGCAAAAGGCAGAATGAGAAGGGAATGTGCAGGAAAGTGTATAGAGACCATGCTGATTTTTTGGCCCATGATGATAAGTGGCTCATTAGCTGTTTCAGACTTCCTAGAGCAATCCTCTTGGAACTGTGTGTGCTGAGTTGGGTCTGGTTTTGGAGGAAGACATGGTGACGAGTCATGCGTTGCCTGTTCCTTTACAAGCGCTGACCACTGGGTTTCCTGGCAACGGGCATTTCAGACTGGCAGACCAGTCAGGACTATGTCAGTCATCCTTGAGCTGCGCCATGCCAGCTGTATGGGACGGGATCATCCATATGTCAGCCAAGTTTATAAAGTTCCCATACCATGTGGACTTTTTGCAGTGAGAGCCAATTTCCCTGATGCAATCAGAGCAATCGACTCCACACATGTTATGAAGGCACCATCAAAGGATGAATTTGCCAATGTTAATAGAAAAACATTTTATTCCATCAAAGTGCAAATAACATGTGATGCACAATTGCGACTGACTGATATTGAGGCAAAGTGTCCTGGATTAACCCACACCCAGTGTGATGGTCGTGGGATGTACAAAGGAAATGTGTGTGGAATCTTGTGTGCGCAGTTTCATACATCTAAATTCTTTGGTGCTTACACAGCTTTCCAGCTTTGTGTCTACCTTACACTTCAGTATGAATTTTACACAAGGCTTTGTACACCAGGTCCTTGATTTATGAGTGGAGTAGCTGCTTGTGCACAAACAGAAGATTTTTTCCTGACTACCTTCATAATTTGCCACTTTATTTATTTGTTTGTGTATGTGTTGATGTCTTCCAAATCTTCTGAGTTAATACATTTTGAGGCTTAATTTACTCATGATCTTGTAAATTTAAAAAAGGGTAAAGACTTGACTGTGAAGTCAACGGCGAAAACAATATGAGTGTGTAAAACTTCCTGATTCCTGCATGGGTCACCGTGTGTATGTGTATGTCCTACCTGGTCTTTGTAGTAGTTCTCCAAAGACTTGATCTGGTCCTGGTGTCGTCTCTGATGCTCCAGTCGCTGCTCCCTGGCAAAGGCTCTCTGTTCTCTCATCCGGACTTTTTGTAGCTCCAAACCCTCCTCAAACAGCTGCCGAAACATCTATATAGACACATAAATACACAACCACATTTATTATAGGTTATCATATCACCCAAAACACTAAGGCCAGATAATCACGTGGTCAAACATCCACTACAGTTCATTGAAAAGTGATCAAAATATTAACCAATGATAAAACTAGTCCTCACTACCCACCCTCTCCTCCTTGGTGCGTGCCCTCATCAGACGGGCACGGTGTTGGACATGGTAGTCGTTGTGGTACTTCTTGGCTCGGGCTATCTGCTGCCTCTGTTCCTTCAGTCTGTTCTGTGTTGACTTCTGCTGCTGGATACGCTCTTTGAAATCCCTCTGGAAGATAAGACATTTTAGCCTGTAACTGGCCTGCATGGTATGACGAATACTGTACGTCCAGCAGGCTAGAGTTGTTTACTCCTTTTAAGAAAATGCAATCACACTCTAAACATCCATCGTAACTGTTGTTGATAACATTACCAAATGTGAAGTTTATTGTTTAAGTGTGTGTTTATGTGCTGATACTCACCAGACGCCTGTTGTGGTCCTGTTCTTTGCGGATGATCTCCACCAGCAGGTCATGTTTCCTCTGGGCTTCCTCCACCTGGAAGAGAAACGGACATTCACACATTCATCCATCTGTCAAATCAGCCCATATGTTACAGGGCTGAGACTGGCTACGTTCAATTTTGGTGTGACCTGTAATAGCCACCAGCCTACCTGGCTGGAGAGTTTGCTGCGTCGCTGGTGGCTATGAGGGGATGACAGGGTGTGCAGTCTGTCCACCTGCTGCATCTGCTGCTCCCACATCCTGCCCAGAGCATGAGGAGAGATGTGAAGATGGGGCAACTCCTCCAGGAGCACAGGGAGGAGTTCATTCTCCTTCACCTTCACTGCAAAGATAGATTGGACACAAAACAGAATATTACCAGTATGATCACACTACACTGATATCACATCATTTCTCATTTTGCACATTGCACATATTTGTATTATATTTATATTTTTTATAATATTTTTGTAAATAGTATGTTGTAAATATTCTCTGTTTATATTTAAGCTATCTGATCTGCAGTACATATTTTTTCTTCTTACTATGTTTATTGCCACACACCAAAACAAATTCCTTGTATGTGAAAACCTACTTGGCAATAAATTCTTATTTTTCTCTTCCATGTTTGTCACAATGAGTTTAAAATAGTGGGACTTCTTTATATTTATATTGTCATACAATCCTGCATAGAGTGCCTCATCCTTAGGTATTGGTTGGTTGGTGGGGCTCGGTTTGAGTAGCTTAATACAACCAATTCTATAGCTAGAAACAAGAAAATATAAATGAAATTGTTCTCTAAAAAAGCTATGGATGAAAAATATAAGTTTCAGATTTTCAATCATGCTTTTGTGGATGCATGATGCTGTGAGACATGAGTGCACAGGGAAGGATGTACTTCACTGCTGGTTTATAGTTACATTACACTCTAAGCACATAACTTGTATATAACCATTCAGTGCACACGGATCATAGCAAGATGCATTAATACCTAAATTTAACATGCAACAAAAAAAAAAAATCATGTTGCTTGTGTGTCTTTATGTCAAATATCCTTCAGGGATGATGTGGTCAAATCTCTTCCAACTGGGGAAAACTGTGAGTGATTTCAATGTTTGACATGTTTTTTTGTCAGTTACACCTGCACTCCATTTATTTGATACAGTGGCGATTGCTCTAAGACTGCAAGGGAAGCTCAGCTTCCCCTAAAATGTCAACAAAATAAGTGGTCAAATATATACTGTTGTGTGTACATTTCATTGACTAAATATGCGCTAGAACACGTTCATCTTTTGTTCAGAATCAGCTACGTATCACAGGTAACCGACATGACTTCCTTCTCATTCATCCCCGCAGCGCCACAGCGCTTTACAGTGTAGACGCCGAGCGTCTACTGACTTCAATGGGGAAGCATAGGGTGGGTTGTTCCACTGCAGCGAAACTAGACGGTCATTTGATAAATGCTGGGCTTTGTCCCGCCCATCGGAGGCTCAGCGTCTCTGGGGGGCTATGGGGCAGGGGGCTGGCCCGGACGCTCAGCTTCTGCATAATGATTGGATGATCTGTCTGAGGCTGAGTCCCTTTTTGATTGACAGCGAAATGAGCGAATCAGCAATCTTGAAGTATAAGCATCCACCGGAGTATTTTTCAAGTTTTTCATTCCGTTGTTCGGAGTTGATCTGGAGACGTTACTGATCCTCAGCAACTTTGTCTTTGTTAAAAACGACTAGCGTTGTGTTTGGCGACTCTCTTCTGTCACTCTGCGAATTTACATATAAATAAACGGACACATTTTATGATGTAGGCCGAAAATGAGCTTCCCCTCCTTATAAGACCAGCAGCCGCCACTGATTTGACAGGACTATTTTAAATGTACTACGAATTTTGTTTTTTCTTTTTCATTTTCAGAAGTGCACATTCATTTTTACAACCATCTGATAACTACTAAAAAGTTTGTATATCAATGAATATACCAAATTAGATACATGGTGGATGTCCCAATTCTCCTTTCGTTTATTTGAGCGATCCCGAACCGCCTACCGTGTTCATGCGCGCACACCGGCTTGTTGGTGGTGATGTGGTTCGCTTTAGCTCGTCTGCTTCCACTGGAGCATCAAACGCGAGAAAATGGTTCGTGCATGCAAGTTTCCTAATTGCAATAACAAAATGAAAAGACACACGCCGTGCAGTTTTCACCGGCTTCCACTCAACGACAAACAGAGGCTCAAGTTGTGGCTAGCTGCTCTTCAAATAGACCCCGACACAAGTGTAAAGCAACTACGTGTGGCGGACTATCGAGTATGTAGTGAACATTTTGAGAGGGAGGACTATGTACAGCGCGTCGGACCAGAACCACCCAAACAGTTCTTCCTGAAACCCACAGCTGTTCCCAGAGTAGTGAAGCCCGATGCGGAAGCAGAGGTAGGGCTTTTGACGCCGGGTAGCTCCATAAATAGCTACTGTATAGTAACTATTAGCTAAACTGCTGTTCTAAGCATGACTTCATCGTCCTAAATTCCTGTATCTAACTTTTACCTGTCTCTACTTGTGGTCTATTTGACTGTTTCCCATGCGTGTATTGCAGGGATTGGAGGATAATCAGGGTATTAGCGAGTGATTTTAATGATAAATCTGATAATCTTGGGTCCTATTTTTCCCATGTTTTTGCATCCTGCTCGTGGAAAGCTTGTGGCAATAAGGTGGAACCAGTAGGGAGTCGTCGTTTCTTTACCGGTGCACATCTGCAGTATATGGCTGATTCAAATCGGTCATCCAAAGTACATTATCAACACACCCGGGGAGGTTACACGTGTGTAATGTGTGTGCCATAAGTAGACTCCACCAATGACAGCGCAGTGACCACTGCAGACACAAGTACAGAAAAGTCGCCTCTTTGCCTAAGATTCAGTTTCACTATTAGCTTGTGTTATTTGCATGCAAAAATGGCGTATTATGAACCAGTTGGTATGAGAGAAGATGGGCTTCCAGCCTGTGCAAATGCAGAACCAGAGCCACCTCAGGTCAGTGTTTCTGTACTGAGGTTGTTCTGTTTAAGGGATTTATCACTACACAAATGAGCACATTAACTCACAGCACGAACCGCACTGAGTCACACCAGTAGACAGACTGACCAGAAGCACAGGCTAGCTAATGTTAGCTGCTAGATGCCTGTTGACTGTTAATGTTCCCTGAAGATTAAAAAAAGAAACAGTGAGTCCCTGTTTTCTGTGGTATTTTACAGCTGCAGGACAACTGGGCAGCAATGGACAGACCACCAGGCCGGTTCAGAAGCACAGGTGAGTCTGGTCCCCTCTATCTTTTGTGGTTTACAGGTGCATGTGTCATTCATTAATGACACTATGGGAGTTATCAATGACAGTTATGGTCATGCGTAAGGAAGATGACTACTGTGGTGTTAATAGGGGGACCTTATTAATGTACAGTACAGACTATCAGAAAATCAAATTATGTTTCTGTGTGGAGAAGACCAAGGGATTTATATGCAAACAGCTGATAAAGGCAAGGTCTGCCTGTTATGGCAAACTGTGAACATTAGCACAGTGTCATGTATAGAAACTATTATTTAATGTGCACAAATATTTTATTCTCAGCCCTCGGTTTGAGTAAAGACTTTTCATTGTCATATTTTTATTAAGATCTACTTTGGGCAATCCACACAGGAAGTGTTTTTGATGTCTGTCAATCATCCATCTCATAGAGGATAAATCAAATAATACAACTCTCCTGCTGCTTATATGTTGTGAACTTATTATTATTATCAGTGGGAACTGATCAAGGTCCCAAGTTTTGTTTTTTGTTGTAACATATACAATACCATCCTCTTTCTGTACACTCCTCATGGAACCTACTTAACATACCTAATATTTTTACAAGTTTCTGAAGTTCCTCAGCCTGACGACAACAGTTTTTCCAGCTGATGTCATTGTTGCTGTCGGCTTCTGACTTAATCAAGTTGTGCAATACAGTCCACCCTATTATAAGTTGTGTTTTTTGTTTTAACTTTGGTTTGGAAATGACTCTTAAATGAATACTTTCTTTGAATGTTTAAGTATTGTCACTTTCAACTAAAAAAAATCCTTTTGACTGACCATACTGATATTAATTCACAGGCATTCAAGTACCTGAGATGTGCCCTGCGACCATGGAGAAGTAAGTCAGCAAGTAACTTTGATCATGTTTCCCTAATGTTTCAAGTAAACCACATAGCAGACAGTTCTCGATAGAGTTCAGCTTGTGTATGTTTCCACCTCTCGCCACACTCCATACAATCATTGTGTTGTTATCATATCTCAGCTATCTTTTCTGACCTATTACAGACCAATTCCACAGCACATAGTTGATGAGGAGGCTATCCTGCAGCTGATGAAGAGCTGTCCAATGTGCAACAAAAAGTGCCGCTGTAGCAAGCACACTCGCGGCCCTTACTTCATAGTCTACCAGAGCTGTTACTTCTGTGATTATCAGCGCAAGTGGGCCAGTCAGCCCGAAGCTAAAAATATAAACATTCATAAGGCGCACACGCCGCCCAAGAAGAAACTTCAGGCAAAGGACAAGGTATCCGTAAATGCCAAGGCTAAGTCATCACAGTTTAATAAGAGTGTCTGAATCCCACAAACCACTGAAGACCTGAGGAACATTCTCAACTCTGTTTTAGATGGACAGTAACCGACTAATATGAATCTGGATCTGGGCATGAACTTAGTTTCAGATGTGCCTTGAGGTGGATCATCATTATGCAGAAGGAGATGTTTGGTGGCAGCCAACAATTCTGTAAATTTGCTGTATAGTTGTAGCTTCAGCCCAAAGTAAAAACATTCAATTTGCTATCAAGGAACACAAGAGGAGACAAGCATGGTTTCGCACGCTGGTAGTGAGAAACACTGCACTGGTAAGGTACCGTGGAAACAACCATTTTGAATACTAAACATAATTATAGTATTTAGAAAAATAATAGTCCAAGCATGAGTGAATGCAAGACATGACTGATGGAAATGGACCTGTACTGAAGCCGCTCATGCGTTAAATATACAAATCTTAACTTACTTGACGGAGTTTTCCTGGGAGCCTCCTGCCGTCTCCGTGCTGGTGTGGTTTGTGTGTTACGTTGTGACTTGTGCTGGGCCTTTGTTCTGGCTGGGGACGCTCTGGGGCCTTGGGAAACATCCTTTAGTATGGCCTCTCTGTATTCTCGCTCCTACACACGCACACACACATGGTTCAGTAAACTGGTACAAATTTTCCCAACAGTCACAATCACTCATCAACACACTTAAATATTTTCCATTTTCCCCTCCTCTAACCTTCCTCCAAGCTGAAGGCTTTGCAGGTAAGGTTCTTATCCTTGGATTGTTACTTGTTTAACATCAAAGCAGTGGTTGATATTTGCCATTTTATACCAGGAGAAGTCTTGGGGTTAGGATGGTGTTTACAGATGAGATGAATGTTCACTTTCAGTTTCCATAATACACTTTATATACACATACTAACAGATGATGTGTAATTTATCTCTTTACAGTTAAAGTTGATTATATAGGAAATGCATTCCTAACCTTGATTTTTTTGTTTTGTTTAAATGTGTATCGTATTTACTGTTATAACTAACTGTGAGTACATTAAAATTTTGGATTTTATCTGAACAAATGTGATAACCCACAGCGATTCTATTTTTGCAGCCTACTCTACAGGGCACAGACAGTTATTGTTACAAAGCTCTGCTTCAGGGACGTTAACAGGGGGAGGGGGAGGGGTGAAAGAGGATACCTTACTGTACTCGTACTATATGAGACTTCTTACTAATAACTTACGGCTTCCTGAGCGTTGAGACGCGCCTTGTCTAGATCTGCCCGTTGTTTGTCTTCATATCTTTTCAACTCCTCCTCATAGGCCTTATTCTCCAGATACTGAAAGAGAGAGAGAGAAATTTAATAGATGGAGCAGGAACAGCAGCAGCAGCAAATTCACTTAATGTGAACATTATTTATTAGGCTGAGGTCAGAACAGACATTACTGAAAACAATCAGGCAAATACAAAACTTCATGTAACTTTTTTGTTAAAAAAATTGCAAGAAGACTCATTAAAAGGTGAAAACACAAATATTGCTGCTTACACTTGATACTGCTCAGCATCAATACCAATAACAATTTTCAGATTGTATATAGGTCAGAAATTACTAACTTCAACTTTAAGTCAAAGACATTTTAGGTAGTGAAAAATTTTTGTGCATATTTTTAACTACATTAACTTTTACATGCATTAAAGAAGAAAAAGGACTATGTTTTCTGTTATGTTTTACCTTGCTATGTTTTCTGTGAGACAGTCTGTGACGTAGCTCTCCTTGCCTTGAATGATCAGAAACTGTGAGGTTTGTCTGTCTCCTATCATCCAGGCTCAGAGCCTCTGCCACTGCGTTTTCTAACTGTCCCTGCAGGGAGCGGCGGGCCCGTGGAGGCGAAGGTGACAAGGAGCGAGTGCGGTGCATGGATTCAGCTTCAGGTGTTCCTGAAACTAATAAATGTTACAGTTCAATACATTTAATTAAATTGCGTGAGATTTAAAATGGTTAAGTTAATGTATTTTATGAAAAGGAATTTCATAAAAATTAGGAACAGTTCTCAAAAAGGACCATGCCAGGGTTTTTTATATTTTACCTAATCAACTATAAATCCTTGCAAACTCATTTTCATGCATGTGTGAAATTAACAGACATCAGTGGCTACATGATAGATTAAAAATGCATATTAAAACTTGTGGTGTGCTTTTGTAGTTTCTAGTGAATGGGCTAAAATGCAAAACTTAAAGGCTGAAGTTTGATTTATTGTTTATAAAAATATGCTCACTATGCTTTAGTTGTAATGTGTTTGTACCTGTGGTTTGTCTGGGAGTCTTGCGACACTCCATGATACTGTCGCTGTGGTGGGACTGCTTGTCCTCTTCTCTGGCCTCACAGGACTCTCCACTTTCTCCCAGAACTCGTTTAAGCATCTACAGGAATTACACCAAAACACATGTAGTTGCAAGCATTAAAGGGATAATATACAAATACAGAACTCTCTTAAGTACATGCAGTACATCTTCTGATGGTTGTAAAGTCCATGACAAGGTGCAGATCTCTCTCTCTCACACACACACACACACTCACACCTACCTCATCAAGTTCTTCAAGTCGATGGGACAGTTTTTCAGATATCTGGTGCAGCTCCTCTTCTGCTTTCCTGTTGCTTTGTCTGCGGTAAGTCAGAGGTTCCTCAAAATCCTCCTCTAACCTGTTACTGCTCAGACAACAACAACGACAGCACACAGCAGAGATTGTTAGAAAATCAGAAAGCAACCATTACAACATTGTCCCCTCAAAATAATTTCTTGGATATTCCATCCCTTATGTGGCTACCTACTGTAGATTCACCTCACTTACCTGAGGTATGTCCTTTCTCTGTGATCTATTCTTCTGCCCTGTAATCTTCGTGTATAACTTGGGCCCTCTTCATCTCGCTCTTCCTCTTCAGTATCTGGTGGAGAAGGGGTGATGGACCCCATCTCATCCTGCAGAGTGAGGAAGAGCACATCTGGCTGGGTGCGGAATAAAACCCTCCTGGGACCTCCATTAGTTGGCTGAGATTAGAAAAACAACAGAAATTAATTAATTTGGTAACCATGAAGTCACACAAACTAAAACATCTAAACAAGAAAGAGGGAAAGCAACAGAATGCACTTTGTCAAAAATTTAGGACGTGTACTGAAACTAATCCAGCCCCCTTTATAACAGCACAGGATGGTTGAATTGATAGACATAGATAAACTAGTGCCAAAAACATCAATTCAATTCAATTTAATTTGTATTTCACCAAATCATAATGTACAAAATCTCAAGACAGGGTAAGGTTAAGATCTTACATTATTGTAGAGAGACTTTTTCAGAAATTCCATCAGATTGTGTACTGCATCTCACCATATATATCAGTAAATAATCCTATGTCTTTTCTTTTTACAGAGAAATCAGTGTAACAAACACACATCCAAACCTAACCTTCACAAGGATTCTTTACAAGGGCTGACACAATACTTAAACACTTAACATCCAACAGTGTCTGCAATGCAGACACTGTTGGATGGCCCCCTATTGAGTCAATAGGGGGCGCTGGGGCGCCGCCACTTCCAATTATGCAGATGAGAAAGACTACATCATATTAAACATAAATTAATTAAGCAAAAGTATTTATTAAGTCAAAATTTTTCTTACTCATCGTACTTCACACTGTGTCCATCTAATTATTTTAATCCGTTTTTAAACTTTATTTAAATTTTATATGAATACGTATACTTCTTGTATACTTCCACCGGTTGGCCCGATGAGTGTGTTTATAGTTCCTAAAACTTTTGGAGAACAGGTGACCTGCAGCTGCGTTATAATTGGCCTAATTGACACTCCTTTTATCAGAAGCCAATTGGAATTGGTTTTAAGTTTTTCTTTTAATGTGATTGGACGGTTTTCTACGGACTTCCATATTTGAGGCTGTGGCTCACTCCTGCTCATTAGACCAGAGCTTTCAGAAGATGTTAAGTTCAAGTGGACCTGCGGAGAAAGACATGTCTATTCTTTCTTTACAGAAACATCCTTTTACACGGCGTACACTGGAAGAAAATAAGAGGATAAAAGAGCATGGACCGGGCCAGCCCAATTTAAACATTAAGGAGCAGGCAGGTGATTGAGGACAGGCTTACACTCGGGGCGTCTCCTGTTCTTGTTATGATAAACGGAGCTGGCTTGCTGGATGCGGTGTAAGTAATGCCTTTTATTGCTTCCTGCTTGCTTTTTCAAAGTGTCGGCACCGAAACGTTGTGGACATCGACGGGGGTTCAGGACCTTAAACACCTTTCTGAAATGTGCAAACGTCCTGAAAGTAGCCGCAGCCACCGTGACAATTGTTTGAGGCTAGAAGTTTTTTTTGGCGGGCTTAACATTACTGAACAGTAAGATGAGGGCTACAAAACTGGCATTAGAAGGCACACCGAAGACGTGCCAAAAATCTGCACATCCTGTCCAGAATAATCGACTGTGTGAAATTTTGTGGAGCCTTTGAACTTGCCTTACGTGGCCATGATGAAAGGGAGAGAGTGGGCTGGTAGATTTTGTTGCTTCCCTTGATGGAGTGTTGAAAGAACACCTTGAGAACGCCACTGTTTCCAAGGGAACATCAGAAACAGTGCAGAGCGAGCTACTGGACTGAATGCTGTGTGTTGCGAGGGAATACGTCCTCAAATAAACCCAAAGCTGTCATTTATTTATTTATTTTTTAATCAATCCAGGCAGATGTCACACAGTCCCAACTTGTGCTTGTGCTGCGTCATATTGATGCCAAAAACAATGTGCAGCTGAGATTTTTGTTGTTTTGTTCATGTAGTGCTTCTGGCTAGTGACTTATCGATAGCTGTTGCTGCTCACTCTCCACATTGAAACGCTGTTTTTAAACCTAAATATTGGCAGCTTCTATGTACTCGCTCTGATCATTATGCAATACTCGAGCAAGAATTCACTTGGACTATGTTATCAACACTTCACTCTTTACATTACTTTAATTTGTGCATTTACACTTAATAATCACTTTCACACTGTTACCTGCTTGTTTGCTGTAGAAGGGGAGTCCATACACTCTGTATGCTGCTGTTGCAATGCTTATGGCCAGTGCTTGGGCAACATTAGTGTCTTGTTTTTTGATTGGTTTGAAGGTGTAGAAATATATAATATAATATGTTGTATAATAAATAATCTTTAGTAAACAATGGTTTTGTAGATCATATTTAATGTCATTCATTCTTTCATCCTACCCTTTTTGGCTTCTTTAAATCAAATGTAAATATCTCTTAACAAACTACTACAATTAAAACTACTTATGCACTCCTAAAACTAGACTGAAATGAAAAATCATACTGAAAGACTCAATAAGAAAAACTAATGAGAATTTAAAAACTATTATAACTGCACCCCCCAAAATTTCTTAGTACCAGCCACCACTGGTCTGCATGGGGTTAAATGTTGCTGTAAAACTGGTACAAGTGAAGGCATGTTGCTCTCTTACCTCTAGTGTCTCCCCCTCCACATCTGTCCTGGCTCTTTGTTGACTGGACAAAGACTTCTCACTCGCAGCTGGAAATTGAGCAAATCATGACATCAACAAGTAAAGGTCAGTTTATGGTCTCTCATAACTAGTACTTAAGTTGTGCTGTCCGACCATGTTGGAAATCAAAGGACCAGTTAAACCACATGATAATAAGTTCTTATTTACAATGACAGTACATGCTTGTTGACTCACCAGGAGACTGGCAAAGGGGAGGAGACTGTAGTCCGTTGCTAACAACGGTCTCAGCTGCCGCTTTAGGGATCTGTGTGAGAGGGATAGTGAGAAAGAGAAAGGTTATATTATATTTTGTTATTGAAGTAATTCCTTGTCTCAGCCATTTTAATAAGTCAGCATGTGCCTGTCTGTGTATTGTCCTGGAATCTCTAAAATAGAAAATGTAAGTGTCTGTTTAAGACAGAGAAAGAGAGACAGTCTTGCATTGTAAGCACTGTAGTAACATAACTCATTACTCACAGAACTTCAGGAAGTTTGCATGTCCTTTCAAATTGCATGCAAATAACAGATAAGTTGACTGTAAAACAATTAAACATCATCATACTGTATTATAAGGCTACCTCTGTAGTGACAGAGTCGGCTTCTTTTTCTGCATGCCCCTTGCTGAGCCCAGCAGCTGTGGGGGGCTGGATGGGTGCTTGTGGGTCTGTGTCTGGTCTGTGGGGAGTGTTGCTCTGGTTGGGTGGCTGCAGTGTGACGGCTGAGTGCAGAGGTTCAGTCAGTGGAGCATCCTGGGCATCTAGAGGACCAGAGCTGGTGATTGCGTCTGAAGTTTGGGGAGGGACAACCAGTCCTTGCAGCAGGATAAATTAATCATGAGATTTATTGAAAGAGTTACTACAGTTACAAGTTAAACAGTTTAATAATTTATCAATAACAAATGAATCGAAATATAAATGATTGTTGAAGGTAACATGAGATAGAGAACACATGACTGTAATTCTTTTGACGCATGCTGAGTAGGTTATGTCTTTTCTGCCAAACACTGATTGTTGACGCTAAATTGTCTCAGTGGTTTGTGGTTTGGTGCAAAGCCACGTGACAAGTTGGATAAATACTGCATAATGTAACAACTAGGCCAACAAGATTAATCAGTGCTTAAAACAACTAATGTCCTCTCAAAGGCATAAAGAACAAAAAAGCAACAATATTTTGGGTATTCTTGTTCCGCTGAGGAAACATGAATTCCTGACACATCTTAATGTGACACTTTGGCCACAACATAACTGGAAACCACAAAAAACAAACACTGTTATGGTAAATACTAATGCACAATGGTCTGTGTTTGTGTGTCTTACCTTCTTGTTTGCCTGTAAATGTGCGTGCGGAGACTCCCAGCCCAATGAACTCACTGGTTGATCCCATGTCCTCAGTGTTCGAGGAATGGAGGGAATGTTTACTGGACTGGGCAGTGGACCTGAACGATAAGGACATAATATGATTTACCACAAGTCCACATAGATATATATTAAAGTGGCCACTCAGTAATTTGATAAACCTCCTCTGAATTTATCAAGCCACAACTGTGATTAAATTATGGACTTAAAATGAGTCAAGGAGTTTGTTGATCTGCACTCAAACAATTAAAGAAAAATTCAACCACAATGAGCCGCAAGGATGTCCAATTTAACAGCGCCCCGTTCATGTCTTAATATTTACTCTACTGCTTAGATGTTGGCCGAGCCACCTGTTGTGTCAACAGGACGTACAGCCCGGATCCACACTAAAGCTGAATGTAATGGTCAGAGTCATGTGGGGCAAACCTGACTGTCAGCAGTGTTATAGTTTATGGTGAAGCTCAACACAAACAGAACAGTTGGTATTCTTTTACTTTGTTTGAGATATTATTTAAATATTGTGAAAATGGTGTAGATCTTCAGGCGGTCTCTCCAGGAAGACATTCATAGTTAAAAGTGAATGAAAAGTGCCATAACTAGTGACTAACAAAAGAAAACTAAAATTACCACCTTGTGGTTTTACGGCTCTGCCAACCAGTCAAGGTGCAAGGAATATGGTCACAGTCTCCCCGTCTGTCCCTGAGTTACAGCCTTGAATAATGGCCAGAGGAGTTTTTGCAGAACATTATGATGTCACAATGAAGTTGACCTTTGGCCATTTGGATATAAAATTTCATCACGTTAAATTGTGTCATAATTAGTGTGTGAATTCTTCAGTTATGGTCAAAAGTCAGTTACCATGACCCTTGACCTCTAACTGTCAAAGTGTAATTGGTTCATTCTTGAGTCCAAGTGGGCATTTGATAAATTCTCTACAGGTGTTCCGAATTCATCACATACACAAGAAACTTCTTAAATGACCTTTCACTCTGAAACACCTGCTGGCTGTCTTTCTTAAGAAAATTCTTCAGTGCAGAGAAAATTGTGGGTTTTACATTTCTAGGGGCAGCATCACTGGTATGTTTGGGATAAACAGAGAACTGCATACTTGGCACGAGCTGTGACGACCACTATATCAGAACAAACAAAGAAAATACTAGTGTCACCTACAAAAATTCAAATTTTATCAGGAGAAAAGCGAAGAAGAAAGGTCAACAGTATTGCGACACTGGTTAACCCTCTAATCTCTGGGGGGGTTTGGTCAAAATCACCACAGCAATGAAAGGTTAACACCCAAGATATCACAATGATTAAAACAGCTAAATAGTTAATCACCAGTTGAATTTATCTTGTGAACACAAGAATCTATAAATGTTTCATAAAATCCTTCTGTATTTTGTAGTGTTCGTGAAGGATATTCAGCACATGTAGGAGAAGCTCTTACTCTCCAGTAGAAGACAAAGAAGCTCCCTCCAGTTTAGTCTCCTTGTGCCCTGTGACATTGCAGCTTGCTGACTCCTTGGTTTCACCGAGCACATCCTCACTAAGACCGTTATTCAGTTCCTCTGGGGGGGAAAAAAAAAAGAAAGAAAAAAAGAAGACATGAATAATACAATAACCCAAAGGGAGAGCAGTTAATGAGGAAAAACTGAACCAAAGACAAAGAAAAAGCAATACTTGTGATTACAACATGTAATGGCCTCCATGGAATTTTAAAGAGGAACAAACTCATGTGACCTTTAATTCACCAAACTGATATGCACTGCTGTGAAAATTCACTGTTCTTTTAAAAAATAATAATAGACAACGTAAGTCTCCAATGACTCGCAGCCAAAAGTCTGACAGACAACTGAGATCATGTTTGTTTTTTTAGCCAAAAAGTAAACTGAATACATCAACTATTAACCAATGTAAGCACTAAATGCAGAAGTGAAATTTGACACTGAAGTGAGAGATACTGTAACAATCTCCCCACAGCTCATATTAATAAACATTTCAGCCCAAAACAACTCACACAATCCACATTCACGTTACAACAAACAGGCCACTGTTAGCTTCGATTGAAGTCGATACCAATTTTGTTATGCCACATTCAGGACGTTTCGCTAGGCCTTTTAGAAACACATCATTTGTAAGTGCAGACACAGTTATTAACTACTAATTGCTGTTTGGCAGAGGTATGAGGGATGGGCAAGTCACACAAAGGCATGCTCAGTTCTACTAAATCAAGAGGGCTGACTGTTCCCTATAAAGTCCTGCACCAGCTGGTCTTAAACTGGGTTTAAGTCACATTATGTCCAGTCCATGCTGGAGGCAGGCAATCTCACCTCAACAAAGACTTGTGTCTTAGTAAGGAAAAGGGAGAAGTAGAAGTTTCAGATAAACTGAGGACACAGGCTGCTAAAGACTGCAATGAAAATGGCCCTCTGGCCACTGCTCTGAAAAGCCATTTAATGATGAGAACTGTGCATTAATGGAAAAGTATTAACATGCTTAGATGATTGAAATTTCACACCAGTTCTGATAATTTGCTTCAACTGTATTGATATTACTTAATTAACATTAACATGGCACAAGCTTTTTAAGTTACTAAAAGCAGAAAATGTTTTTCAAATAATTATGTTTTAAATAGATTATAAAGCTTTAAAATACACGATTAAAAATGACAGTGTACTAATTTGTTACATGAAACACAGTCATCATGTGTGTAAAAACAGTTCTGAAAATTGAGGAGGGACAAGTGACAAATTAATCGGCCTACCACTATTCTGTGACTCCTCACTTATCTCCTCGTTGAGATATTCCAGGAGGCCATCAAAGATTTCCAGGAGGTTCTTGATAGACTCTTTGTCCCCTCTGACAACATTTTCTCCTGTGAACACACAGCCATCCTCGCCATTATACTTTGTTCTCATCATTTTATTGTTAAAGAAAAACAGGGATTGGGAAATCTGCCATGCAGTGCAAAATAAAGTGATTTGGTGATCTTTTCTACCACTTCAAGTTGATACAAATTAAAGTTATGTAGGTATGTACAAGTGAATCATAGTTAATCTTCTCTTGTATATGCACATTTAAACTTTTAGATACAGACATTTAGATTCACTGTTGTTACAAATGAAAGGTATATACCAGTAATGTGTGAGAGGCTGATCTGAAGGTAATCCAGGGACAGTGAATCAATCACAGACTGAACGTTATGGACGTCATCCTCTTGACTGCGTGGTCCTGCAATATAATCTATTACACAAATAAATGTACACAAATGTAAATAACACAAAGCATGTACACATGAGACCACAGAAACAGTGAAATATACACACACTGAGCTCTTTCCTGTACTTAACAATGCAGGAAAGAATCCAGCAACATTAACGGTCTTGTGATAGCATGTGTGATAGTCTTAGAAAGAATTCCTGACATACTAAGCACACTAATGTTCTACACTAAAACCTCACACCTAAACTAAAACCTTCAGTGCTTGTTGCTTTTGATTAGAATTCAATGCCTTTGTTAACAATTTTACAGTCATAATTTTAAGAACAGTTTGAAGATATTAGAGTTACAAGTAATATTAATTATTAATGCATTAAACAAAGATGTGCATCAAATCATCACAATTGTGTTGCTGGACAAGGGAATAATTTGTTTAGTTGCTTTCTATTGATCAACTAATTGCTTGCTCGATTATTCTTTTCCTGTATTGGTAGATCTGCAGCTTTGCTATTACCTGGAACTTTCTCCCCCAAGATGTTCTCATACAGAGCAATGAAAACATTGGCATCACAGTCCGTCAGTTTCCTCAGCTTTAGGTTGATGTGACACTTGCTGAATAGATGATTTGCCACATCTACCCAATCTGTAGACAAGAACAAAATAAAACTGAACTGTACCATGTATGAAGGACGATTATTTTACTCTCTAGAGAGCTCACTTTGGTGACATTCACTGGTTATTTATCCACAAGCAAAGGTTCAGCACATCCTCTAGGGGTGAAATCTTAAATTCATTCATGTATGCCGGGGTCCGCGGCAAACTTAAGTTTGAGAGCGGGGAGTAATTTCTCCCTGTCTCATACACACCAACTAACCACTACACTAACTACTGCGGACATCCATGCAGTTAATGATAAATAATAACGGTTCCTTTGAATTCGACGTGACAAAACAACAACCCAAGTTTCATCTTAAGTTAGCTTCTATCCTTAAGTCACCTCTAACGGTGTTTACTGTAACTTTACCGGTTGGATTAACTCAACGGTAGCTAGCTAATGTTGCTAACTTGGTATGTTTGCTAACGTGTACAATGCCAGAATACGATTAGCCGTGCACTCTCACGATTATAACAAAATCATCTGTAAAATATATGTATGTACAGGTGCTGTCCGGCTCAGTGGCAGCCGAAAAGTAACAATAATCTGGCAGCTAGCGTTGGCTAGCGTTACGTGTCGTTAGCTTTCTCCGGACAGGAGCGCACAGTCTCGGCTGCCTTACCTCTCTCTCCCTCCTGGGTTCCCATGAAACAGCTGTCGACGAGAGGCAGATGAAGCTCAAAAACAACCGACTAACTAAAAAAAGAGTCCTAATAATTCAGACTTGTGAGGAGGTGAGTCTGTTGTGATGTTGTTGTGGTTTTTAGTAAGAGGGAGAAGGAACTATCGGCTCTCATTTAAAATTGAAGTCTTGTTTGATTGGACGTTAAGATCGCTCTTTGTTTCCGGAAGTGTCCTGAGGTGGGCGCGTACCGCCCTCTGCTGGTGACTGTCTATAACGCAGGCAATAATGCTTAATAAAGCATGACCCATTACAACTACGACTACACAGAAACCCCTTCAACAACTTTCCATCAAATATGATCTTTGAGAAACAGTTATTGTTCAAATTTTGACCACATTTGTCACAGGAGTTTTTGATGCATGTTTTGGATACATTTGCCTATATGATTCATTTTTCCCAGAATTAGAAGTATTAACATAAACTGCTATAACTCTGTCAAGGAAAAATACCTTTACCTCTGGTACTGTATTAAAGCAACCAGTTTTATAAATCTGTTTAATTTTTTTTATATAGGAATAAAAATTACTGTACATTACACACAAATTATCTAGGATGAAGATTCAGTATAAACTGAATAGTAAAGACAAATTACAGTTCAACACTGAGACTTTCTACAAGACAGTTGTACGATAAGCCAACATAGAGACGTCACTTCAGTTTGTATTGTGCTTTAGTCGTGCACATTCACAAGCAAATCTGATATAAGTCAAATGACCACAAACTAACTGTCACTCAGTGAACCTGGGCCTTTTGAAGCCTTGATGGTATGGGACGTTGGGTCAGTTGCCCAGTTTGTTAAAAGAGCCAAAAGAACCAAGATTGCATCTGTATTGTACAAATACACTACAAACCCATTTGCAAGCAAAATAAAGTGATTCGGAGTGACTGATTTGTAGGTTTAATTTTATTTTAAAACCAAACAACTGTGTGTGAGTCGTCAGGGAGTTCCTGCAAAACAGATGACCTGAATAAATGCAGGTTAAGGAGGCCACTTCCTTCCATTTCTTTTAATGTTCAAGCCAAGACAAATTTATTTGTATAACACATTTCATACACAAACGTTAGTTATGTCAGTTAGTTATGGTGTTTGGTAAGAATTTCACTAATATGTAAACTGTTTTTTCTTTTGTCTTTCTATGGTTAAAAATCACAAATTAAGATGAAATGAGTGAAAGAAAAAACATTTCAGTTACTTATTGTTAATGTAAATCATCATAGCTGTTGTAATATTGTGCACAGCTTATTTGAATACAAAATCTACTAAATATAATACATTTATTCATAACAAATTGTGATTTTGAACACAATAGTCAGAACAGCAACCACAGATTCAGAAAAGCTATAAATATGAAAACATATTGCTGATACAGATCCTGTATGTTTTACACCTCATGCTATTTAAAAACCAGAGCCAGCGTATGAAATACCAGGAACCTGAAATTAATACAGCTAAATGGAATTCAGCCAACATTCATTTTATTCTTTATACCTGAGCTTTTACTGTGTTTGCATGTCAAAATGTCTCCCATGAAAAAAGCCTATCAAAGCACGCTAGCTTGTGTGTTTGTGTCAATGTGTTTGTCATGTTTTGCCACCAGTCTGGTGGGTTTGGGTGCTGAGTTATAAAGTCACCATCTTTTCACAGATCCAGAAGTTTTCCGTGTTACATGGAATATCATTCCAGTTGTTATTATTATTATTATTATTATTGAAGAAGCTTATTTCTCCACAGTCTTCATCTCTGCCGTGATAGGTGTTGGGCTCCCCAGTGTACCAGAAGCTAAAACCAAAACAGAATTAGCTTTGATTTAAACACAACCAAAGACGCATCAATATTGTTATTATTGAACTGAGACTGACTAAATTTTAGTCATGTAACCTTAGTGTGTTAGCATTGCTACAGATACCTTTGCCTGGTCTTGGTTTGTAAGCCCACAGTCAGGAATCACCAGGGTAATATTCAGAGTGCTGCACGCAGTCACTGGGGCTAATCTGGCTGATGGTTAGTAAATACACTATGTCCAAACTGTAAGCTGTTGTTTGATTGAGCTGGGCTTAGTACTGAAAGTAATGTAAAGGGTAATGTTACCAAATACCTTTCTTAACTGAAAATGATTTACAGAGCAGGCCAATTCAAAATAAGAAAAATACATTTATATTTACAATACTCTGACCAAGAAAGGTGTCTTCCATGAAATCCAATACATCAATTTTTTCAGTACATGTACAAACAAATCTTTAACACAGAATGGTTAGACTGAGCTGACACTGAATTGTACCTGAGTAGCTCACTAACTTCGGGGTGGAACTTCCCTCACTGGGGATTCACACAACTGTTGTCAGTGTAGCTTTAAGATGTAGTGTGATACTCCCCGCCTATAGGCTTCCTGAAAACCACAAAACCAACCACAGAAGCACTGACAGGTGTCTGCACCATTACCCCTGTAAACAGTTCTTCCATAGGTTTAATTTTGTGCTGAACTCAGCTTGAACCAGCAACAGACTGAACTTCACTGAACAGAAACTGTGCTGAAGGTCACAGAATTAAATTAGAATTAGAATTAAATGGTGATGCATTCACTTACTGAAATGAAGTGCATTTGAACAGTGATGTGATTGCTTAGACTGAAAGAAAGTTCATGCACTCTACGGTCACTGTCTAGAATCTACCGTGAAAGAAACAATAAGAATCAGTAAAGTGATATGACATTATATAATATAATATATACCATGTAAAATGGTAAAAACACGGTGCAGGATTTCATACTTGCTCACCTACTGGAGTGCTGCTGAGTAGCAGTGTATTCTCAGTTGCCACAAGAGGTTGAAAGATTTAAGAAGGAGACTCCCTTTTTATTCAGTAATACTTCAATAATATACTGTAGCAATACTACTAATAATTATTAATTCAAACAAAGAAAGTAATTTACAAACCTTGTTTTCAGCAAAGTCCCATCCACCCATTTCCATGTCCCTTCTGTCTCTGTGTCCGTCAGTCCAATCCATGTCTTCAGTTTGAATTGTCTCATGAATTCCTTGTTGACAGAGAGAGAAGCCAATGATGATTAACACGACTGAAATATAACTGATTTGATTTACCCTTTTTCCTATACAGTATGTCTCACAGAGAGATGTCACTCTCATACACACCTGTTCCTCTTTGCTGTTGATAATCACCAGGTCTGCACCTCTTTGCACGCAGTCATCTCTACTGTCTTGCCAGGAGTTGTTAAAAGAAGAAAAGTAGTAAACACTATGGTTGAAATACAACCATCCTTGCTGTGTGTAATGATCTGTGAAGGATAACAACATTTAAAAAAAGCTTCATATCCAATTGAATAAAACAAACAAACAGCAACAAAAAAATGTAAAATTAGTTGGATTGTTTTTAATGTTACAGTTATCTTCATGTTTCCATGCAACAGAGAGTTAAACTCATACTCACCAAATATATTCAGCTTCCTCTTTATCTCTTCTGTCTCTTCACTCAGGCTTTTGATGATGGCCTTATAATCTGTCGTGTTTGTATCAGAACTGTCTGTGTGGGCGAAAAGAATTACACATTCCCTTTTGTTACACTGTTTAAATGGTGAGTTTAGGGTACCATGTGAAAAGATGCTCACCCACGAGCTTACATACACCATGTGTGTTTTTGGTCTGTGAGTGTTTTAATATGATCTAGACCCTCGGCTCATTGTGCCCCCGATGTGTTCAAGCTCAGTCTTCGCTGTGTTGCACTTTCAACAACAAGAGGGAACAAGAGAAATGTCTGTTCCTCAGCCACATTTACAGTATAATGAAATTTTTTCTGTTTTACAATCATAAATAAATGTTAGCTGGTCATTTAAATGTGGTAACAGAGGCTCTGTTGCTGAACTTGAATATGACCTCATTGTCAGTGTCAGTATTGCTGTTCTCGCAGCACAGCTGCTGTCATTAACCCATATTTTACAGTATTTATGTTATCATAAAATCTTGATGTCCTTATCTGCACCGAGTAAGTGCAAATTTATTTATTTATTTATTTAGTGACAACAAATAGAAATCTGAAAGTTAAGACCTTGTCTGTAACTGTACTTTAGATTAAAAACACTATGAAACATGACTCACATTTGGAAAGCCCCATTATTTTCTTACTTGATCTTTGAATACCCTCCAACCATCTCAACTGTTTTGCCATTAACCAAGTTAATTTAGAAAGCACTCAAATAATTATCACAATTTGTAAATGCAATTATTCAAAGTGTGATGCTAGCCAATTACAATTTCTGGTTTTATAATATTCAGTTGTTGAATTTCCACATAAATCACAGGTGGCACTGGCTGAAATTACAGAGAAAATATTTAAGACAACTCACAGAGAGCATGACGCAGGTAAATGTTGAGAGCAACTTGTAGGATACACAGGAGTCCAAAGCTCACACCAAGCAGTTTGTAGAGATTTCTCTCTATGTGCAGATACCACACAAACACATGAAAAATCACCATTATAATTAGGAAGGCCTGATATTGTGTTATGTAAAACAGCAAACAGGTCAACCACTTTCATTTAACTTCTTCTACCCTGTCTCTGGATGAAAAGTTATTAACTTAATATGTAGCCTCTTGCCAAATTATGGTAGGATACTGTCAGATCATGTATACTACAATTTTTTCCAACCTTAAAGTTACTTACTCCTGGCTGAAGCATCAGGTAGGTTTCTATCATCCATAGCTGCCACAGATTCCTCTTTGTACCCTCTGGAGTATGACAGGATTTTCTGCAAACTGTTTCTTCTTTTCTGTCCCGATATTAATCTGCTCACCACAGCATCACACATCTCTTTCTTATCTTTCAGCAACATGTCACCCCCACTTTCTCACTTTGACTTGACTTTGACTATCTATATCTGCCTTTTTTCCTACATTGATTATAATTAGACTACCTGTGAAACATTTGTATCCTGGCAGCTGTAATATTTTAAATAGCTATGTGTATAGGCTTCGTTGCAATTCTGTTACCGCTCAATGCAAAAGTATAAATCTTGCTATATGGTATTTAACATAATCAGATGCCCTCTGTTGTGTGTAAGACGGTCCCGTTTAACACAAAAAAATCAGTACAGTAGTCATAGCTTTACAAAAGTTGGAATATATGCATAAAAGTGACTTTTAATGTATGGTTAGGTTTTAGAAAATAAAACATCTTAGTAAAAGTCATTAAGCCTGCGTACATAGTTAAGGTTACAAAAGGATTGCCTTCATGGTTGACAGACCATATTGACTATTTGTTGTTGACTGGGAGTGAACTATGTCCTCTAATGTCACATAAAGCCCCATGCTCTGTATGCCCAGCTTTCTTTCCTTTTTCCCCCTGAAACAAACATTTCACAAATGGTTTATAACACACTGTAATGAAGTTATACTTTGATATAAGAACATTTAAAGAATTCATTGATATACAGTATTTGTCAACAATTATCATTTCTCTTATGAAGACATATTTTCTATCATTACAACTTTACTTATGTCCTTCATAATCTGTTTATACACCAATGTCTTATGGGTGCCCACAGGAGTAAAGACAGTTGTTGTAAACAAATACATTAATAAACAGCTTGATCTGCTTACTACATTATATTGTGCTGCAAACCATCTAAATGTTCATATACTGCTTATAAATGCTAAATTGGGGAATTTGAAAGAAAGTGTTGATGTGCTCTGCATGTGGTAATCTGCATGGGTTTACGTGACATACTGACTTCTGACTATCTCCATATAAACCTGTACTTTATCTGTTTTTACAGTATCAGCGCTGGTGTACAGGATGTGGTTGCTATGTTGGACTGCTTTGATAAATTTATTAAATGTAAACTGTTTGCACAGTAGCTTCCTTTCGCCTATCATGATTTTATCACAGCATGAGCTGACACTCTTTTTTTTTTTCTCTCTCTCTCTCTCTCTCTCTCTCTCTCTCTCTAGAGCAAGTCAGAATAATTCGAACAAATTAAATTAGGATAGTAAGTGATTATATAGATACTTTTTCGTGATTGCGAAGTTGTTAGCAAACATACTCATAAATTCAATCACCAAGCGAGCTGGAAGTGACAGACAGTTGCCTCTTGACTTGACTAGAAAAAGACCTCTTGCTTATGCAACAGTAATCTGATCCATGTCTTCCCCCTCTAAACAAAAGATCTAATTTTCTACAGTGCCTGCAAAACACATATGAAGTAACTCCTGATGAATATACATGTGGCCTTTATTTAAAGAGGAATCAAAGCATATGTATTACAGTATTCCCTTTTTTGCAGCAAAGCAGTGACCCTAGTTGTATATTGGTTTTACATAAGTGGTCACTTTCCCTACAGTGCAGAGAACATTTGACACTACACTGATACTAAGCCAACAAATGATGAAAATTATGTTCACAAACAAACTGAAAAAATAACCAAGTGATTAAATATTTTCCTCTGTTCAGCTGAAATTGAGAAATGCACCTTTTTGTCCTGTTTTCTGTATTGTCTGGCAGGTTTGGATGCAATTACAGAGAAAATTTTTCTTCACAGATCCAGTAGTGTGGATTGGAGCATCTTTCATCATTCCAGTTGTTTTCCGAATCAGGATGTTTAATTTGCCCACAGTTTTCAAGTGTTTTACCATTTGGCTCCTTAGAACCCCAGAAGCTGAAATAAAAAGCACAAAAACAAGTAAATTTGTAGCAAATATGAACACCAACCAAGAGGCATTTTATTTGCAGCAACACACAGAATGTAGCCAAGCTAAACCCAACATCAATTCACCTTCTTGTCAGTGGAGTCCCATCCACCCATTTCCATTTCCCCTCCGTCTCTATGTCAGTGAGTCCAATCCACAAGTACTTCTTGAATTGTCGCATGAAATTCTTGTTTTTAAAAAGGAAAGAAATAGACAAGTAACAGGTTAAACTGATTTCAACCTTTGTATTCATTCAGTATTTTTACTTTTTGTTCAACAACACACACAGTCATATATTCATACACACCCACACACCTGTTCTTCTTTGTTGTTTATAATAATCAGGTCTGCATCTTTTTGAAGACAGTCTTTTCTACTTTCTTGCCAGGTTTTCTCGTTAGAAGAAATGTAATAGAGACTACCGCTGAAATACAGCCATCCTTGTTGAGCATAGAGAAAAACAGAAACATCCGATTAACAACAAAAATTATGAAATTATTTTTTATTGGGGTGAAAGAGCAATTTGTTATTTGGAAAAAATGGGAAACTGTTATAGTTAGGCTGTGCCTCCTTCTTTCCCATTGTTTCCATTGTGTTTCCCTCCGAGTTTGTCTCTGTTTGTGTGTGTGTGTGTGTGTGTGTGTGTGTGTCTGTCTCCTGGGCGTGGTATCCAGTTACTTCTGCCATTTGGAAAAAATGGGAAACTGTTATAGTTAGGCTGTGCCTCCTTCTTTCCCATTGTTTCCATTGTGTTTCCCTCCGAGTTTGTCTCTGTGTGTGTGTGTGTGTGTGTGTGTGTGTGTGTGTGTGTGTGTGTGTGTTGTGTGGTGTGTGTGTGTGGTGTGTGTCTGTCTCTGGGCGTGGTATCCAGTTTTACTTCTGCCGCCAGCTCATCCACACACCCGAAGCCAATAGTACTACTCGCTGCTGCAATATAATGTACTGCACCTACTACAGTATAAAGACTCCCTCGCTCTTCCACTGATCATTTCAGTCTGCAGAGTGGTAACACACAGCCATCTCTAGTCAAGTTTGTTTCCTCGTGTGTGCTCTCCAAGTTACTCTCATCCTTCTCCCTTTGCTTAGGTTGACTCACCCTGTGGCTCCAGTGTGTGCTCTGCTTATCTATCTCTCCAGTTGTTCATCCATTCAGCCACGGACATTCATTGCTCAGCCTGCCCTGCTCCAATGCCAACCGTGGCCATATTCCCAGCTCCCACCTGCCCAGCTTCATCACCTGTCCCGGACCCCCCCTGCCTGAACCCTCACCAAACCTCCTTTTGAACATTTTTTTAAAACTGTTTAATCAAGCGTCTCTGAGTCCTGTATTTGAGTCCAAATTTGTTACAAAACCTCACAGAACAATCTGCCCATACAATGGACTCAACAGACTCAGATCCAAAATACACCTTCCTGCAAAAGCCCACAGCCAATCTAGGAACACTCCTCAGAAATTGGATCACTTCATGGCTGTTTGTCCCGTCTGGTCAAAAAACTGGGCTCATTCATAGGCATGGGAATGCTGTCTTTTTCAGCCCCATCTAGACAACGCCTTCAGTTACAGTCAGCCTGTGTTCTAATCAGCTCTCCTTGCCCCTTCTAGTTCTGATTGATTTTGGTGCGCAGGGTATGAACTATGAATTTGCCCTTCAGTCAGTAATAGCCCATGAACCGTTATCTAGTTCAATGCAAAGTAATTCAATGTACTTCAATGTTCTTTGACACCTGTAGTTCTGACTCAACCTTGGTTGCATAACCCGCACATTAACTGGGATTCAGGGAAAATAGCCAGTTGGACATGAACCTATTTGCAATCCCCTTTGTCTCCTGCAGTGGTCACTGCCATTTCTCCCCAGCCTGAACCTCCTGATTTATCAACAGTTGGGGTGGGAATACCACATACTGGCAGACGTCAACAAGGAGTTAACGCTTTGGTAACAGGTACTTTGGCATATGACAGTCAAAAGGTAAGTTGCACCTGACTTCGAGTGAAGCAAAGGACCCCCACAGTCCACTATCAAATGCTCAAACTGTTGGCTGATAGCAGGAACGGCACAGGTTTTAATATCTGGTTAGGTTTGTCAGTTGTCTTGTATGACAAGTTTTAAGGTTCCTCTCCAGACATGCTTTAAACTTTGCAAAAATACTCTGCTATGATTTATGTTTTGTTTAGCATGATTCCCACATAAAAACTGAAAAAAACCCGGGGCTGTAAGCACACCTGGCTTACTTACTCATTGGAAAAAATCTGGATCATGCCTAAAGTCCCGCCCACCACAGCTGCTTGTGCTACATGATCAGGTGAAACAGCAGAGAGTATCAAGATGGTCAGTGGCGGAAACAACGAGAGACTCAGCAACATGTTTGAGCGTCAGTCAGACCAAGACTCAGGGGTTTTTTGGGGAATTTATTGGGCACCAAAATTGCAGACTAGAAGACGTATCAGAACTGTAAGCGTTGTTATTCGTTTACGTTGTTTGTTAGCTTGTGATTCGCAGTGGCTGACACAGTGTTAGTGGCTGTGCTAATGCAAATTCTCCTCTCTGCACAGACAAGGTTTCTGTGACTGGTGAAAGAGCAACGTGTGTCATGAGGCCAGGAACCCACTGCATGCGTCGCAGCTGCTGAACGTATTGGTTTTCATTTCAGCGTCCATTTTAACAGGTGAGAGCGGACACACTGGCTGCGTGACGTGCGTAATGATAATGAAACATTCCAGTAACTTGCAGGAACAGCTGGTTTGATCATTGATTACTTGTTTAACTGCTTTCAGCTTGCAGTGTATATTGCAAGATTTCACTCTGTGCAACCTCATATTTTCCCAGTGTTCCACTCATACATCTTTGGATCATTGATAATTGGTATAACTAGTTTCAACCTCAAACTCACCATTTTTCAGTCTCCTCTTCAACTTGTCACTCTCTTCAGTCAGGGAATTATACTGTGACTCTGTTATTTTGCGTGGAGAGGTTACCGTTATTTTCTAACACCATCAGTTATGTCAACAACCAAACAAACACTTCACTTTAAAACTTAATTTCCATATTGCGTTCATCGATTATAATAATTATTAGTAGTTTGCTTAGCTCTGTAAAGACAATCTACTCATGTTTTTGTTATCATCACATCACATTAGCTTCCTTCCTCTATTACTTAATGTTATTGACTTGGAGAGAAACTATTAACTACAATATTTACCGGGAAACTTTATAAGTAACATAACACTTAACACATGCACCCTCTGGGATCTAAGCTGTCACTAGTTTCATCATCATACTTACCAAATATATTCAGCTTCCTCTCCAGTTCATCTCTCTGTTCAGTCAGGTTTTTACGACTGGCTTCAGTATCTGAAACAGAAGTAATCTGTCAGATAAAGTACCACTTCAGTGAGCAAGTACTTACCATTAAATTTTTTTAAGTCATGTCTGGGGTTGTAGCTAGTTTAATCTTCTAAATTTACAAGAAAATTATGATTGATTGATCTGAATCACTGGATCTCAATAAGAACAAGTGTTGCATTTATATTTTTGTTCAGCATAAATGCTTTCAGAGTATTAGTGTAATATTAATGTTCAAAATCAAAGCCACTTTAACTGCATCCATTTTAAACTTGACAACAGGGGACTATTGTATGAGTCAATTTGTTAGTGAACTATCATGATGTGTAACATTTGTATCATACGAGCCCTTTGGATCATTAGTATTGGATTAGTTGTGTCCTCATATTTACCAAAGTTGATCCTCTTCAGCTCGTCTCTCTCTTCAGTCAGGTTTTTAAAACTGGCCTCAATATCTGGTGGAGAGGTGAATTCAAACAATTCATCACACAGTTTTTCGATAGGGTGATGAAATAATGTATCAATGATAAGTAGTATAAATAATATTTTTATACACACCATTCTCACATACAGCTATAAACCGAAACTAGATGCCACGTGGTAATCTGTGAATAACTGTTCTCTTAAAACTGGTGCGTGGCGTGTGATAATTGAGATAATTGGTTTCATTTCACTTTAAAGGAATAGTTTGACATTTCATTTGTTGTTGTTAGATGAGAAAATCTACTACTCTCGTATAAAGGAAGTGATTAGCTTAGCATAGAATAAACACTGGATGAAGTTGCAAGAAACAACTGGTAAAAAATGTCAAATAAATTAGACATATTTTGATTTCCCCCTGCAGGCCTGTATAAGGAAAGCTATGTGATTGATTTAAAATGTAATCTATATACTGAAGTTAGAATTGGGACTAGTATTTGTCCAGAACGGAGCTTCATTCCTTCAGATCTGAGCTCCGATTATTAGACTAGTTAGCCAGACTTACCAGAGTTGATCTTCTTCAACGCATCTCGCTCTTCAGTCAAGTTTTCAGAATTGGCCTCAATAGCTGGTTGATGAGTTGCCACCATTTTCAACACAATGAGATTATATTGACAAAGAGACAAGAGTGGCTTTAAATATGAAATTTAAACATACTTTGATGATAGGTGATTAGTTAGCCATACAAAATGGTTTATACTATGAACTGAGCCCAGCTAAAATAATGTATGTAATGTATGAGAAAGAAGTACATCAAATTTGTTGGACTGGTTTCACACAGGCTCCAGCTCTGACGTATTATTGCCTTGTAAAGTTATGGTCATCTGATGAATCTGACTGAAGTACATTGATGGATATTGATTAGTGGAGCATAGCCTGCCAAGAATCTGATACATGAACTCAAAACTGGAAAGTCTGATGCTCTTGATGTTAGAATAGCATATGAGCTGTCTTGTAAATCCTGTAGTCATCAGTATGTGATGTGATTTGTTTGCAACTGATTCAAAACTTTCCTAAATTCGTATTTCTCTCCCTGAATGGGAGCCTAGCAGCAATTCTCCTGCAATACCAAACATGATGATTCAGTAACATTTAAGCTTCGAGTGTTACTGAATCTGAGAGACATTGAAGTGAAACCACAATTTCAGTGAAACCACAAGTGCTTTGTGAGTCTTGTGATCTTTACCCCGGAACAGAAACATACTTAGAAAGCCATTAAAGCAACATAACATTTAGTTATTGAGTTTGTGGGGGTAGCCAGTTTCACTTCTACAAATTAAAAATGTTACTTATGCTGAGGTATTAATAAAACACTGACAGCAAAACATCTGATGCTACTGGGACTTAGGTTTTCTGCCTGAAGTGACCAGTTATATCAGTCCTCAGTGACAAGATTTCACATTCATAATATGTTACCCTTGTAACACTTAGGATTTACTTCATTTTCCTGATATTGACTAAAACACCTTTGGATCCAGAACTGATAAAAATATACTATATGCTCTTTTGTAGCTGACTTAGAATTTATCCCCACATGACTGACTCATATTCTACTGTACAGAGTGCTGAGGTCACAGCTGAGCTCTGATTATAGTTTCATCCTCATACTCACCAGAGTTGATCTTCTTCAGTTCATCTCTCTCTTCAGTCAGGTTCTTGTACCTGCCCTCAATATCTGGTGGAGAGAATGTTAGACTTGAAGGCAATTCACTTTATATCATATGTGTGCATGCATTGATTGCGGTAATTGGTGCATTTCAGTCCTTTAGATCTAAGTCCTGATTATTGGAGTAGTTTCATCCTCATACTCACCAAAGTTGGTCCTCTTCAACTCGTCTCTCTCTTTGGTCAGGTTTTTAAAACCAGCCTCATTACCTGGGCAAGAAATTAATTTGTAACAGAATCAGATTATATTAACATCTAAATGCAAGAAAATTCACAAACAACCCACAGCCCACACGCCCACCAAAAACTGCCCTGCATCCACCCCACATGAATCACCAGCTCAGGTCATCAGGTGGTGTGTACCAGAGAACAGAAGCAACGTCCGCTGTACCTTAAAGTAATCTCAGCTGATCTGGATCTGACTCTGATACGATGACCACAACTAAACTATGATGACATATTGACAATGAAACAGAATTTCCATCTTTCATTCATGTTGTAATGGTAACTATTTTTAAAACATTGGTAAACAAAGCATAGTCTCATACAGCTGCAAGACTTGTTTTTACTAGCCAAGTACAAATCTATGAATTGCTTAAAACATGAACATAGGATTACAATGAGAAATTTGACATTGCAGGGATGAGTAATAAACCAAAACTTTACCAAAACCAACATTGTGAAATTCTCATCAATGTCGCACTGGCATTGACATGTCTCGAAAACTCTCGGAGCAAGTGGTTGACCCAGCATGTAAGTATAATTATAGACTAAATAAAATAAGACGATAATGGTACAAAGACACAATTGGAGGCAACTCACTGAAAGCAATACGCAGAGAAATACTGAGAACAGCTTGTAGGATACACAGGAGTGCAAGGCTCACAAGAACCAGTCTGCAGAGTTTTCTTCCTGCATGCAAAACATAAACATAATGACACAGAGAAACAACCTGATTTTCTTAGTGACTAGTAGGATGTTTCGTGTTCCCCAAATTTACAATAATTACAACAAGTGAGAAAAGTGATGAGGGTTGACGAAATCTATTAGCTTCTTTTCTCAGTTTGGATGCCAAAGAACTTTTTGTCTGTTTATTGTCAAGAAGTGATATGTGAACTTGGTATCATATCGTCTCCAGTTCCACAGTGCTCTTGAAAGAGCGCGCCAGACTTTGAAGACTATTGAAAGACCAGTGTGCAGTTTTCTGGCGACTGGGATGTGGCAACTTTGTTGTTTGCCATCAGAGACTCAGTGAATGGTTTCACAGGTTTCACACTTCTTGAATTAGATTTTAACCAGGAGGTTGGAGAACTGCTTAATTTGTTCAAGGAGCAAAAACCAGGTGACACTGTGTTGTAGTAAATGTATAATTTTGAATATCACTTATTATAAGCTTGTGAAGCAGCCAGAGCGAATCTCCAGCCAGCCCAGGATTGTGTGCATATACACACAATACTGGGCTTGTGTGATGCCCTTGTCGTCATAGCATGAAATAGGTTTAAGTGCACACCGCACTTTGCTGTGCATATCCTAAAAGTTTACAGACAAATCAAGTCTTAATTTTTATCCATGCTGATGTTATGGTTAAAATAACCAAGTTAGTAAGTAAGGAAGTAAAAGTTTTCAAATCAGGGTTACAAGGTGCTTCAGTTACAAAAAGATGATAAAAGCATTTGAATAAACAAACAAATAAATCCAACAAACACAAACAAATGCTGCGTAATAAATGAACAAATAAGATCAAGGAAGCATTAATATAATGCGTCTCACCAGACACTACTGAAGTCACTTCGTCCTCTTCATAGGAGCGGTTCAGAGAGGCATCACTCTTGGCTGAACCAGCACAGAGGTTTTCATCTTCCATATTGAGTTCAAATTCCTCTGTATGTACACCATTTGCCATATTTTACAGACTGCAGAGTTATGAACTGTTAGTGGCTGTGTTTTCTTGGGATTGTGCTGATCTGTGATCTGCCGCTTCTTTTATTAAAAAAAAAAAAAAAAAAAAACCTTTCTCAGCTTACACAGCAACAAACATTTGTCCTTCCTCATTTCACCAGTAAGTTAAATTTCTATTTGGACTTGCATTAGAAGCTTTGACCCCTGTATTGGAAATTTCATTTCCTATAAAATGAAAGTAACATCACTGTAATGGGAAACTTCAATTTCCAATTACTCTTACATTACTTTTATGCTCTGTACCTAAGTTTGTGCTTCATGTTCCTTAATGCCCTCACACTGTAAGTGAAAGTGTAACTTTCACTGAAAAGTATTTTCTGGTAAGACTTTACTTTCCTATTTAGCATATACATAAGCACTATATAAACATTTAATAAATGACTTATAACACACTAGTGTAGTTGTAATCAGATATAAGTACAGCCACAATCAATAAACCACTGCAATCCCTTAGAGGACCAATTTCATTGCTGAGTAATTTGCAAAAAACGAATTTCAAAAATACAAAAATAAATGCCATTTTTAAATGATGGAAATAAAGAATAATTTTCATATAGCTTTCAGTTGATTAGTGTTGGCACATGCTTTAGGCAATTCCAAATTGGGAGTAAAATTGGGGGAAAACCACAGAAATGTATAAATTGTAAAAAGAGGTATTAGAATAAGATGCTTGACACAACCAGAATAAAGAAGAGGAAGAAGAAACTATGCAAAATGTGGAACAAACTAGTGCGTATTGTCCCCATGCCCTCCCAGAACACTTTAATGCGATAATATCAAGGTTCATTCATAGCCTGAGAGCAGTTACAGTTACAGGAGGGTCTGACTTCACATGTCCAAGAATCTGTTGGCTAATACCTGACTCTTCATTGAAAAATATCTAACAGTGGTAACCTTTGAGGAGAGTGCCCAAGCTCTGAGACCACCAGCTTATAGTGAATTACAGGGGAGACATTCATAGATTGAAATTTAGTCATTGTACAATGACAAATAATGAGGAAACAGCAGGCCTTTATTTAAAGAGGAATCAAAGCATATGTATTACAGTATTCCCTTTTTTGCAGCAAAGCAGTGACCCTAGTTGTATATTGGTTTTACATAAGTGGTCACTTTCCCTACAGTGCAGAGAACATTTGACACTACACTGATACTAAGCCAACAAATGATGAAAATTATGTTCATGTTCAAACTGAAAAAATAACAAAGTGATTAAATCTTTTCCTCTGTTCAGCTGAAATTGAGAAATCCACCCTTTTTGTCCTGTTTTCTGTATTGTCTGGCAGGTTTGGATGCAATTATGGAGAAAATTTTTCTTCACAGATCCAGTAGTGTGGATTGGAGCATCTTTCATCATTCCAGTTGTTTTCCGAATCAGGATGTTTAATTTGCCCACAGTTTTCAAGTGTTTTACCATTTGGCTCCTTAGAACCCCAGAAGCTGAAATAAAAAGCACAAAAACAAGTAAATTTGTAGCAAATATGAACACCAACCAAGAGGCATTTTATTTGCAGCAACACACAGAATGTAGCCAAGCTAAACCCAACATCAATTCACCTTCTTGTCAGTGGAGTCCCATCCACCCATTTCCATTTCCCCTCCGTCTCTATGTCAGTGAGTCCAATCCACAAGTACTTCTTGAATTCTCGCATGAAATTCTTGTTTTTAAAAAGGAAAGAAATAGACAAGTAACAGGTTAAACTGATTTCAACCCTTGTATTCATTCACTATTTTTACTTTTTGTTCAACAACACAGTCATATATACATACACACCCACACACCTGTTCTTCTTTGTTGTTTATAATAATCAGGTCTGCATCTTTTTGAAGACAGTCTTTTCTACTTTCTTGCCAGGTTTTCTCGTTAGAAGAAATGTAATAGAGACTACCGCTGAAATACAGCCATCCTTGTTGAGCATAGAGAAAAACAGAAACATCCGATTAACAACAAGATTTAACATAATTTTTCATTGGGGTGAAAGAGGAAATTGTTATTTGGAAAAAGAATCAGAAAACAATAAGGAAACTAAGCAAGATCTAAATGGGGCAGGTTTGGAGTCTACCAGAGATCCAAAATAAATATTAGTCAAAATCAGTTGCAAATCAGATTTTGAACCTTTTACACTCAGCTATACAGTGCGGTAGGCAATCACATGAACTTGTTTGTTGTGTAGTAAAAAGTCGTTCATTGTCATTACTGTACTTGGTGATTGTGGTGTGGTGTAAACATTACTGTTTTGATACGTAACCAGTTCATGGTGCCATAGGTCAGGCTGGGGGTGATTCCATGTTACTGCTGCTGTCACATGGCTGAACTGTTTCGATGTCTTGTGCTGTTAATATAACTGCCCTTGTTCTTTTAGTGAACTGTCTGAACGTTGAGCCAAGCTAGTCTTTATTTTCTCAACAAGAACCTGCTGTAACAGCACATTGACCTCTGTATATCTCTTCAACATCAAACTGAGCAGATGCTTTATCAGACAGAGTAACTGCAAACACTTGCGTTTAAGAAGTGCAAACAGACTGCATTGAGTTAAGACATCGATTAACAATAACAACACAAGCAGCACACTCCCTGGCATCTCCACAGTACACAACAACAAACACAACAACAAACTGTTACGGTCAACTACCAGCTTCTGCACTCAGTGGTGGTGTCTCAGCAGCTGATGAGATGGAAAAACCATCAGTATTTCTAATTGAAACTTAACATAAAATACAACATAAAACATAACAACATTAAATGGAAATACTGAAGTATGTGTGTACCTTGAAATTGTCAGTAAATGTATGTCATTAAGTTCCACTGCTTTGGCTGACCACAGGGTCATGGAATGCCAAGAGCAAGCCATGCAGTTCAAGTTAAGTATTTTCTCATGGTATCCAGAAACAGAAACAGAGCAAAGTGTAGGTATACAAGCTTGCTTTTGAAAACTGATGTGACAATACAGCACAAAACAGTGTTGGCATGAGGGTATCAGCAGAGTAACAATTAGAACTCTCAGATTACACAGTAAACTACAGTATACAGTAATAATATCCTATTACATGTGCACTGGACCCCATTCCCACCAACCTTGTTCTAGCCGTATCTCCTACCATTGTGCCAGCCATCACCCATGTGATAAATGCTTCACTGGCCTCTGGAACATTTCCAATTGCATTCAAAAAGGCACAAGTAATTGCTCTACTCAAAAAGACCTGCTGCACTGAATGGTTAGTGATGTCCCTCACTTGAAAGTGTGAGTGGCGACTGCGGAATGTCTTGGTTTTCATTTTGGCACCCATGTTAACAGGTTAGAGTGGACACGCTACCTGCATGAGACTTGCGGCTGCGTTGTGTTATCTAGAGATTCGTTATCTCACCTATTGACATCATACCAGCACCATAACATGAAATTGACACCTTTAACTATAGTTTCAATGTCTAGGCTGGATCTGAATATGACAGACATGAAAAATTATATTTCTTAACCAGTTTAGCAGCTGCATGGAGACATGGCATTTTAGTGACATTATCTGTCGAGATAACTCAGAAATTGATTTATAATGAACATTCCAGTAGCCTGTTGATGGCTATTTTCCAAGGCAAACTCTATGTAGAAAGATGGAGCTGGTAGTAGAAGCAATGCAGCAGACATGCAGTAGGTGTGAACACACGTGTGTGTGAGCGACAGTCAGTGACGCAGCCATCATGCATGCTGTGTGTTCACAGCGTAAGTTGCTTTAGATAAAAGTGCCTGCCAATGAGTAACTGTAAATGCAAGCTTGCAGTGTATATTGCAATATAGTGCAACCTCATATTTTCCCAGTGTTCCACTCATACATCTTTGGATCATTGATAATTGGTATAACTAGTTTCAACCTCAAACTCACCATTTTTCAGTCTCCTCTTCAACTTGTCACTCTCTTCAGTCAGGGAATTATACTGTGACTCTGTTATTTTGAGTGGAGAGGTTACTGTTATTTTCTAACACCATCAGTTATGTCAACAACCAAACAAACACTTCACTTTAAAACTTAATTTCCATATTGCGTTCATCGATTATAATAATTATTAGTAGTTTGCTTAGCTCTGTAAAGACAATCTACTCATGTTTTTGTTATCATCACATCACATTAGCTTCCTTCCTCTATTACTTAAACACCATCAGTTATGAACACAACCAGAGAGACAGTTCACTTTAAAACTTTACTTAAAGGTCCACTATGCATTCCTACATGACGTCACTTCTGTTGATGTTCGAAGTAAACCATCTTGTCGGTGATTGGCTGCAACGTGGTTTGTTATGTTTTGGGGCACAGTTTGTGCCCCTAGTGTTTGTTTGCCATTTGTGACGCCTGTGTTGTCTCCAGAGACCGCGCTGTCTCACAGTGTATTCAGGGGGCAGGCAGCTAGTGGATCAAGGGGAGATGCCTATGATTTGAGACAAAAATAAAATCGCGCTGAAACCATGCAGGAATGCATAGTGCACCTTTTTAAAGGAAGCTTAATTTTTCATAATTGAATGCAGTCAGCTTCGGTGTTCTGTCTTGTCTATGGCAAACAGAGCAAAAGTCCATTTACACATTTTTAAAAAAAATAAATAAATTTACAACAGTGGATCATCATACAAGTCTCTTTGGTACAGACAAGATTTGACTGTATGCAACAATTATATTTTCCCAGTATTCCATTCATAGATCTTTTGGATCATTGATTATTGGTTTAACTAGTTTGAACCTCAAACTCACCAAAGTTTTTCAGTCTCTTCTTCAACTCATCCCTCTCTTCAGTCAGGGAATGATACTGTGAATCTGTCATTTTGAGTGGAGAGGTTACCGATTATTTTCTAACACCATCAGTTATGTTCAAAACCAAACAGATAATTCACTTTAAAACTTAATTTGCATATTGCATTTATGAATCATTCGTAGTTTGTTTAGTTCTGTGAGGACAAACTAGTTGTGTTTTTTATTGTCATCACGTCACATTAACTTTCATCCTCTGTTTCACTTAATGTTATCAACTTGGAGAGAAACTATTAACTACAATATTTAACTGGGAACTTTATAAGTAACATAACACTTAACACATGCACCCTCTGGAACATAAGCAATTGTTACTGATATAGTTTCATCATCATACTTACCAGAGATATTCATTTTCCTCTCCAGCTCTTCTCTCTCTTCAGTCAGGTTTTTGAATCTGGCCTCAGTATCTGCAACTGAATTTCCATGATCTTTTGTATTAATCAGATGTATTGTTGTTTTCCTCTACTTAATCTAACACTGTCTTTAGCTTTCTATATGCAACTTTGTCTCCTAGAATTTGCATTCATACAACAACACAAATACCTTTTGTAGGAAACATAATTGCATACATTAGTAACCATACTACGTTTTCTATTAACATAATGAGGAAATGTTGTTAATTTACATATTTGGCCATTGAGATTGTCAATCTCATGTTCTGCCACATCCGAAAGGTGTTCTATTGGATTCAGATCTGGTGAATGGGGAGGCCACTGAAGTTCACTGAACTCATTTGCATGGTCATGAAACTTGTTTGAGACTTTTACTTTGTGACTTGATGCATTATCATGGGGGAAGTAGCCATTCGAAGATGGTAAAGTGTGGCCATAAAGGGAAGCACATGGTCAGCAACAATACTGAGATACGCGTCGCATTCAAGCCATGTGTTAAAGTGCCAGGAGTGTGCTAAGAAAATATTAACCACACCTTTACACCACCACCACCACCAGCCTTGGACTGTTGGCTCAAGGCAGGTTTAGTCCATGGATTCATGCTATTGATACCATATTCTTCATGCATGTTGGACTGTAGGTTTATTGGCTGAAAGTTTTCACTGGAGATTAACTTCACTGTAATAATCATTAGGCATGATCCATACATCTGTTTTTGTTCAGTACAAAGAACAAATAAGAGATAATATATGACAATCTTCAACATAGTGCATTTAATACTATATTGTTTGTTTGTTTGTTTTTTTTACTGAGGCAAATGTGCAAATACATTTTTTTTTATATGAATTTCAGGTTGTAGTGCCCAACTCTAATCTCTCTCTAGATAGACATTCTTCTTCATGTGTAATCACTAAAACTATGGTGGTAACCCTCTAAACTCTCTGGTGTTTTAGATTTGAGATGCTGAATTGGCAACAAAGATGTATGTTAAGAGGACTCACAGAGAGCAAGATGCAGGAAAATGTTGAGAGTCACTTGCAGGATACACAGGAGTCCAAAGCTCACAGCAACCAGTCCGTACAGTTTTACTCCTGTGTGCCACAACACACACACGGATTGGATCGTTTTTTAAGTTACATTGACTTACATCAATTACCTGGAGACTTAACCTTACTTACTCAAAGTATTACACATTGATATTGACATCAGCGCAGACTGCATTCCGGACATAATCACATTACTTCAAATCTAAACATCTGTTTAATACAGCATGTATTTGTGTGATCAATTTGATGAAACTTGGCAAATGGCGCACCTGAGGTTTGGTGTTCCCTCTTCATTACCTCGTCTTCTTTTTCTTCAAAAAAAAAACAAAACAAAGAAAAAACTAAATCTTTATAATTAATTAAAACGTTTAAAAATTTGCAGGACTCTGGCCTCAAATGAGACATGCTTGTAGTGAGCCACCTCTGTTGACTTTAACAAGTGGTCTGGGTTAAGCACATCATTTGACTAAAAATACATACAAAAAACTTTTCATATCTGCATTTGATACTTAGATGATTTTTCTTTGGAGGATTTACAGTATTTCTGAAATTCAAGTTTACAATGTAATGCACAACATAAGATGAATGTGAACACTGTTGCTGTACGTGTTGCTGTTATGTTTAAAACTGAACCTCAAAACAATTAGGATTTCTGCCTCACCAGGTGCTGCAGCAGGAACTTGACTGTCTTCTCCAGAGCGGCTCTTTGATACAACAACCCTGACTGTGGCATCATGGAGGTTTTCAAATACCATAGACATTGCAGATTCGTTTTCATAGATTATCGTCTCCATATTTCAGCCCTTGGAAAGTGATGAAGGTGGTGCTGAAAGGACAAATGGTGCTAGTCTGTGATCAGGAACTTCTTTTATGTTTCACACTCGTTCTTCCTCATTTTTCAGCAAGTTGTCTTTTGTAGAAGCTCTGACACACCCTACATCAGGCATCACCAAATGGCGGATCGCGGTCCGGGCACGGACCCAGTGACGGTTCTGCTCGGGCCAGTGAAAATTATATTATAATTATAATATTAGGCCTAAAAAAAAGATAAATCATTCGTGCATGCGCAGCTATTTTAGTTTATACGACAGAAACGTCATCAATAGCCAAGCCAATCAAATCGATTGTTTACCTTTCAGCACCACGGAATGGGGGGGGGGATGGCTTGAGAAAAGTAGACAGTGAAAACCGAACTTTTAAAGATGAATGGACGGACCAATACATGTTCGTTCTGCCTGCAGCCAGTTCTAAACCTGTGTGTCTCATATGCTGTGAAACTGTGGCGTTAATTAAAAGTAGCAACGTTAAGCGTCACTATGAGACCAAACACGGATCGTTTGATGAAACATACCCGCAGAAGTCCGCAGCGAGGGCAAATAAAATGATCGAACTGAAAGCACAGTATGACCGGTCTACCCGTGTCCTCACACATGCATTTACAGGCCAGCAACGTGCAGATGAGTGTTCACTTAAGATTGCGTGGATTTTGGCGCAACACAAGAAACATTCAGCGATGGGACAGTGGTGAAGGAGTGCTTAAATGCGGCTGCAGAAACTTTACTTGACAGTAAACAAAAAAACGACGTGTGAAAAAATCAAGCAAATCCCATTGTCAGCTTCAACAACAACCAGAAAATCCGAACTATTAGCAGAGGATGTACTGGCACAGCCTGATGCGGCTGTTCAAAACGCAGTATGCATATCCTTAGCCATTGATGAGTCCACAGATGTAACAGATAATGTCCAGCTTTTGGTGAATGTGAGATTTCTTCACAAAGAGAAGAAAGAGATGTGTGAGGACCTGTTGGGTTTAATGCCACTAGTTAATACATGGTTAAAATAGGGGGTGGGCAGCTCAAAGGTCTTTTGTTTAGAAGAAGAAGAAGAAATTCAGTTACTTGAAATGTAGTAAAGACAACTACAGTAATGTTTTCCATTCAAGTGCCATACAAGTTCAGACTTATCAGTATGTTTAAAGTATATAACACTTGAAATTTGACAATAAATGACATAGAAAAGTACATATGTTGTTTTTTATTTAAATCAGGGTGCACTATTTCGAGTGACAATATAAGATTCGGACCTTTGCTGGGAGGACATTTTTGTAACTGGACCTCTTTGAATTTTAATTGAATACCCCTGCCCTACATGATCAAAACCAGATCAGTTTGACTCGATTCAAAACCGTAAAATAACTGTAGAGTTTTATCTGCACAGTGTCAACAAGTAAGATGTTACACTCCTCCTTCAGTTACCCAGCATTTTTATATCTTTGATACTTACTGTTTCTTCCTTTTGATATTTTTTTACTGTCACCTTCCTTTTTACATAATTTCCTCTTTTAGTGAGATGTTTTTAAGTCTTTTCATACCATATGCAAAGAGACAAAGCACAAACATATTCAGAAAACGTCAATTTGACGACACGTGCTGGAAATACTCACAACACTATGGAAGTGTTTCTGGGGGACACTAAAAAGTGATTTGGCTGGGACATAAAGGCCATGAAGCCATGTAAAATAATTTAACCTAGAAAATACGTAATAAAATCGTATTATTGATGTATAAGAATTACTAGATTTTTAGATTTACATTGATCCGCCACAATATTAAAACCAGTCACCTATTTTTTATTTAAGTATATTTTTTTGGGCTTTTATGCCTTTATTCGATAGTACAGTAGAGAGACAGGAAATGGGGAGGCAGAGAGAGGGGGAATGACATGCAGTAAAGGGCCGTCCGATGCGGGATTCGAGCCGGGGCCGACTGCAGTGAGGACTGTAGCCTCTACACATGAGGCGCCTGCTTAGACCACTACGCCACACGACGCCCTCAGTCACCTATTTTTAACGTTGTGGCTGATGAATATGTTTGACACATGTGACATGATTATTATTATCTGATGTTGCCACATCTGTTTTCTAAACAAGTTTCAAGAAGTTCCTCTTGATCGAATTTTGTTGCTTGGTTTTGAAACTTGACTGTAACGGAGAACCAAAGAAGAGAAGAGTATGAACAACTCTGCTATGAAATTGAGCTCAGTTTGAACTGCGCCTTTGCATGTTCGTTGCACCAAAGTAATCATGTCACAAATGCCCTTTCCCAAACTGATCCCTACTTGTAACAGAGACATCTATTACCATGGATTTAGTTAGTTCTACTATATTGTAGGCTAACAGTCTTACTTGCTATCAAAGCATCTGTACCTCATCTGTCCTACAGTGAAACCATTAACCATCCATTGTAATTTCTTTTAAGTGGTGACTTCGTGGACACTGAGCATTTATTCAGGTACACTTGTGGCTATGTGTGGTATTTATAATTGAATCAACTTGTGTGAGTTAAACTCCTAAAATGACCTGTGTTTATCTTTAACTGACACGTAGCCTCTCTGCAGCAGTTGTAGGAATATTGTGCCCCGATCTTGACTATATAGATTATCTTGAATAGCCATAAAGTTAAGGAGGCAAGAGGCCCCTTTTTCTCTTAACCACTTGCTAACAAACCAAAATGAACAAATGTTTATTTCCCACACAATCACTTCCTCTTCCTCTACTGCCAAATCTGGACTGTGAAGTACTCCACTACCACTTTTTGTTGACAAGTTCCCATCTTTAAATACCTGAAGTATCTTCAGCAAACTTAATTTTCCCTGTTCTGTTGAGCCATTTTAACCTAATTTTACTGTTAGTTCTTTCCAATATAATTTCACAATGTAGCTTGAACACTTCAAAGCTATAGACCTGCAGTGTCTCCAAACCTGCATTCAAAATTCTAGAGAAATTTGTTTTATGTTTAATACATTTGAGCCTGGTTTCTGAAGATTGTGGAGCAGGAGCTGATGATGTTGCTTGAGTTTTTGCCTTGGACATGCAGCTTATTATAAGTTCAGGAGTACATAATGCCATAGGCAGCAATTTAAAAAAAAAAAAAAAAAAAAGATCGACTGATGTAAATTTTGAGAGTCACACACGCAGTCCACAGTATTCACATGACACTAACATCCAGAATTCAGTCAATAGACTCTTCACAAACCTCAGCCTGTGGCGTCAGAGACCAATCAGCTGTCGCATCAATCAGTTCAGTACCAGACATTGTCTGATTTTCAGGGAAATAAACTGCATGTGGACTCCACTGAGATGAGCCCTGACAGTGACACACTGAGAAGGCTAGGAGGGTAATCCATCTTTAATTGGAGAAGCGGAGGGCTTAATTTTTTTCCCAAAAGAAAGAGTCTCATCTCCTCTTGTAGCTCAAAAAGCCAACTGAGCTACAAAGCTACAGAGCTTTCAATAATATTTCCTGCTTTTGTCCTTTTTTCCTTTTGATCCTAAACAACCCTAACCCGGCATCACAACCACAGTTATTAGAAATTCAAAGAGATCTTAACAAAGGTGTACAGTAGCTAATCACTTTCTGAGCCCAGAAAAAATGTGATACAGAAAAAGTACTTCCTCAATTGACCAATGTCAGAGAAATTTAAAAAAATTATAAAACATGAATCATGAAAAATAATTTATTAATTTTGACCTCTGTATTGTATTTGCAATTTTAACAAAATAGCATTTTCTATGAGGGTATGTTTGTGTGGGAGGCTCTTTGTTAACTGAGATAATAAGTGTCTCTGATGATATAAACCCCGGATCTTCATGTGGGTGTGGAGATTCAGTGCTTAAGCATTGTCTCTGATCCAGCTGACATCATAAAGCTGGTTATTATTTCAACCAGAACTCAATCAATTCAGCTATGAACACATTCACATGAAAGATGCGGGATTTGAGACAAACAGTCAAAGGCAAGTTAACGGGGCCCATGTTTCCCAAGTTAGGAGGGTTTTCTAAAAGTGTTTCTACGAACAATCTTAAATTTTCATACACATTTAATTAAAGCAGCACTCAGTAAAACATGTGGCCGTTAAGAGCTTTCTGTGGAGCTAAAGATGCTGCTGAATACACTTTAAAGTAGCTTTGCTTATTAAACTGTCTAAGCTATGTATTAGAAATGTGTACATATATTAAAAAGCAACAAAGAAATGTTTTATGCTTGGAGTTGTCCGGTATGAATATGAAGTGTAATTTTCAGTCTACAGCCCTAAGCTTGGTGTCCTTTTATAATTCATGTTGTTAGGTGAAGTCAGTTTAAGAGTACAAACTGTGACTGATTTAGCTGCTGCTGAAGCTTCATGAATATGCATGTCATCCATTGTGAATGTCATTCTCTCTCTCTCTCTCTCTCTTTTCTGTATCAGACCTAGGTCCTACTTTATACACAGTAAGTGTGTGGGTAACAACATATGCACCATAAATAAAAAGAAATCGGAACATATGGAACCTGAAATTAGATATAAGATACTTGGTGAGAAGAGGGAAAGGAGGACAATGAAGACAGAAACTGACAGATCTGTTAAACAAATCAATGATCCAGAGACAAAATGCACACAGCTTGGATGTGACATAACAATAAAAGTTGTATTAAATATACAAACAGTGAAAGTACATTATTGCAAGATTTTATAAGCATGCTGCTAAATATTTCAGTATCATCAGCTATAACAGTTATTGGTAAAAAATAAATTAATGACATTTTGTAAGAACAAACTCTGGGAATCCTTTGAGAAAAATTTGAGTGCAAATGGGTTAATGGCTAATTTGTGAATTCTCCAAACCTTTATTATACATTTGACTTACAAACTGACAAATTCACTGCAGCATAACCCACTTCCCCACTCTCCATCTTTGTTACTGTTTATGTTACAAAAAAAGCCAAGGCCTCTCAAGACGGAAAAATGACAAACGGTCCTCTTCTTAAAAAAATAAATCATCAATCAATCAAATCATAAATTCACACCTACAGTTATTTAGTGGGGACAAAATTCGAAATAAAATCAACAAAATATTGTAGGCAGTCTGTTGACTTCTCCATATATTGCCTGTG